CACTAAACACAATGAATTTGTTGTGAAATGTTAGGATGAGCGTGCAGGGTAATGTTCACTCAAGGATAAACAAAGCAAGACTGGCTCACAATGCCTGCGTGGGGAGGCGCACAGGTGTGGGCAGGCGGACAGACCTGGTATGCCAGCCGAAACACGGGGCAAAGGCCGAAACTTGGGACAAGATTTGGCCGAAAAAAGCAGTCGAAGCTCAAAGCGGCCGATGCTCAGGGCAGCAAAAACTCGGGGGTCCACTGTAGTCTATACGTATTAGGTTAGGTCTGCCCAAAATGCCTCAGCATGATAGTGGCTTTCTTTGCTCCAATCATATTATATGTAAACACACATTGTAACCTTTTCAAAGAAATAAATATTTTATTTATTTTTATTTATTTAAGGAGCCTTCCTTGAGGGGGAAGTACTCATCCTGAAATTTCGTTCGTATCCAGAAGCAAAAAATCGACCAAATGACTGTTCGTATCCTGAAAAATTTGTATGGTGGAGCGTTCGTAAGCTGAGATTTCACGGTATATGATTTATGTTTTACTGAAGTCTTACAAGTATCCAGAGGTATTTACAAGCAACAATTAAAAAAAAATTGATTTTTTCATTTAAACTGTCATATCTGAGCACCTCTGCAAAGACAGTGATTATGTATAAGTGATGGTGAAAGTGTTGAATGATGACGAAAGTTTTTCTTTCTTTTTGGGTCATCCTGCCTTAGTGAGAAATGGCTAATGTGTAAAAAACAAAAATATATAAATTTTGTAATTTTAGGCAGTGATTCAGTGATTTTTTTTTTTTTTTTTTTTTTTTTTTTTAATCATCATTCAACACTTTCACCTCACACACACATAATCACTGTCTTTGCAGAGGCACTCAGATATGACACTTCAGAAGTCTCTCCAAACTGTCAATATTCCAGACCCCCTCCTTTAAAGTGCAGTCATTGTACGTATATACTTCGTATTTCCAGGACTCAAGTTCGGCTAAATATAATAAACAATTTCCCTGAATCCCTTCACTAAATATTACCCTGTTCACACTCCAACAGCTTGTCAAGTCGTAAAAGCCTTTCATTTCCATTTATTCCTATCTAACATGCTCGCACACGCTTCCTGGAAGTCCAAGCCCCTCGCCCACAAACCCTCCTTTACCCCCTCCCTCCAACCTTTTTGAGGACGACCCCTACCCATCCTTCCTTCCCCTACAGATTTATACACCCTCCAAGTCATTCTACTTTGATCCATTCTCTCTAAATGACCAAACCACCTTAACAACCCCTCTTCAGCCCTCTGACTAATACTTTTAGTAACTCGACACTTCCTACTAATTTCCATACTCCAAATTCTCTGCATAATATTTACACCACACATTGCCCTTAGACAGGACATCACTGCCTCCAGCTGCCTCCTCACTGCAGCATTTACAACCACAAGCTTCACACCCATATAAGAGTGTTGGTACCACTATACAGTGGACCCTCACTTAACGATATTAATTGGTACCCGAGAACGAATATCGTTAGGCGAGTTTTTTAGTGTTAGCCGAGCCAAAATGTTAGCGTCAAAATGTATCGTTAGGCGAATTTAACGTTATGCGATGCGTTCGTTAGGCGAGGGTCCACTGTACTTTCATACATTCCCTTCTTTGCCTTCATAGATAACGTTTTTAAAGTTTTTTGTCTCCACAGATACCTCAACACACCACTCACCTTTTTTCCTTCATCAATTCTATGGTTAACCTCATCCTTCATAAACCCATCTGCTGACAAGTCAACTCCCAAATATCTGAAAACATTCACTTCTTCCATACTCCCTCTCTCCAATGTGATATCCAATTTTTCTTTATCTAAATCATTTGATACCCTCATCACCTTACTCTTATCTACATTCACTTTCAACTTTCTACCTTCACATTAGTTAGTTAAACTGCAAATTTGTAAGGCCAAAAGCATTAACAGATATAAGAGTGTAATATTTCTTTTATATAGAAAAACTTTTTTGTATTAAAGATAACATGATTAGTAACAAAGCAATGGGGTATATTTATCATGAGCATTTCCCCACCAATATATTGAAATGCTATCTTAGCCAGTATCACTTAGGAGTGTGACAGCATTTCATTTATGTGATCCTTCGGTGGCACTCATTTGTCAGTGATGACTCTTAAAATTCTGTGAGAAGTTTTAATAAAATACACCATTTACTTTTTGTGTGGCTTCTTATCACTTTCTCCCATTTCTGTTATTTTATGTGGCACTTAATAACATTAAATTCTATCACTCATCCATCTATCACTACAATTACTGTCTTTCTAGGTCTTCCTGCAGGGGATGCATAATTATTTTTATTACTTGTTTTACTTGGATGCAAGACATTACATTAGTCAATTTACGATGGCTTTTATGTTAAATTCTTATTGAAATAAAGTTTAATAAGTCTTTTCACGGTTAACATTTCCCAAGAAAATGCATTGAAATTATAACTCCCCTTATAACCAGGTATCGGGATTCTATTGCGGGACGAGATTTTGAGAAACTTATGAATGATTCTGGCTTAAAAGAAGACCTAGAAGAGTTAGATGATATGGAAGATGCAGACTACAAGCAGCAGGGGCTGTCTGGACCTACTGTACTAGGAATGACTGCCAAAGACCACTTGGATGGTACAATAAATGAAAGTTTGGGAAAAATGGAAGATGGTGCAAGTATAGTCATTGCTCCAGATTCTGAAGAATCTCCATCTGATCTACCAGTATCTGTCAATATTGAAGTTGATTTCCAAGATGGTAAGACTGAAAATGAGTGTTACATTTGATATAATTTTCTCTTAGTGCTCTCTTAAATGATTTTTCTAATGTAAAAAGAGTATAGAGTATTGTTTCTTACATATGCAAGGCTGAATTCTACAAGCATTTTGCAAACAAAGTCTTATCCTCACTTGGCTCATTTCAAAGCCTGACCATAGCAATAACTTATTTCATTAGCTTCTAGCAGTTCATTTTTGGGTGTATACTTTCATTTCTTATTAAACAATGTATGTAAGGGTTACAGTGTTAATTTGAAGTTATGTATTTGTAAGCCGGTGCTTTCATTATGTCAGGTGACTTGATTTCTCAAATGTCTGTGTATGCAAGAAAATATTCCAAACACTTTTTAGTTGAGAAGTGAACAATTGCTGCCAGAATGGTATCGTTGAGAAAAGTTCAGCCAAAGTGAAGCTGCTGATGACAACCTATCTTGATGTGTAATAGCTGATTCCTGATACTATAAAACTGGGCCAGGCTGGGGACTTTTAAAAATATTAGCTTTGCAAGTTTTTTTTTTTTTTTCAACAAGTCGGCCGTCTCCCACTGAGGCAGAGTGACCCAAAAAGAAAGAAAATCCCCAAAAAGAAAATACTTTCATCATCATTCAACACTTTCACCACACTCACACATAATCACTGTTTTTGCAGAGGTGCTCAGAACACAAAAGTTTAGAAGCATATATGTATGAAGATACACAACATATCCCTCCAAACCGCTAATATCCAGACCCCTCCTTTAGAGTGCAGGCATTGTACTTCCCATTTCCAGGATACAAGTCCGGTTATATAAAAATAACCGGTTTCCCTGAATTTTTTTTTTTTTTTTTTTCCAACAAGTCGGTCGTCTCCCACCGAGGCAGGGTGACCCAAAAAAGAAAGAAAATCCCCAAAAAGAAAATACTTTCATCATCGTTCAACACTTTCACCACACTCACACATTATCACTGCTTTTGCAGAGGTGCTCAGAATACAACAGCTTAGAAGCATATACGTATAAAGATACACAACATATCCCTCCAAACTGCCAATATCCCAAACCCCTCCTTTAAAGTGCAGGCATTGTACTTCCCATATCCAGGACTCAAGTCCGACTATATGAAAATAACCAGTTTCCCTGAATCCCTTCACTAAATATTACCCTGCTCACACTCCAACAGATCGTCAGGTCCCAAGTACCATTCGTCTCCATTCACTCCTATCTAACACGCTCACGCACGCTTGCTGGAAGTCCAAGCCCCTTGCCCACAAAACCTCCTTTACCCCCTCTCTCCAACCCTTTCAAGGACGACCCCTACCCCGCCTTCCTTCCCCTATAGATTTATATGCTTTCCATGTCATTCTACTTTGATCCATTCTCTCTAAATGACCAAACCACCTCAACAACCCCTCTTCTGCCCTCTGACTAATGCTTTTATTAACTCCACACCTTCTCCTAATTTCCACACTCCGAATTTTCTGCATAATATTTACACCACACATTGCCCTTAGACAGGACATCACTGCCTCCAACCGTCTCCTCGCTGCTGCATTTACCACCCAAGCTTCACACCCATATAAGAGTGTTGGTACTACTATATTTTCATACATTCCCTTCTTTGCCTCCATAGATAACGTTTTTTGACTCCACATATACCTCAACGCACCACTCACCTTTTTTCCCTCATCAATTCTATGATTAACCTCATCCTTCATAAATCCATCTGCCGACACGTCAACTCCCAAGTATCTGAAAACATTCACTTCTTCCATACTCCTCCTCCCCAATTTGATAACCAATTTTTCTTTATCTAAATCATTTGACACCCTCATCACCTTACTCTTTTCTATGTTCACTTTCAACTTTCTACCTTTACACACATTCCCAAACTCATCCACTAACCTTTGCAATTTTTCTTTAGAATCTCCCATAAGCACAGTATCATCAGCAAAAAGTAACTGTGTCAATTCCCATTTTGAATTTGATTCCCCAAAATTTAATCCCACCCCTCTCCCGAACACCCTAGCATTACTTCCTTTACAACCCCATCTATAAATATATTAAACAACCATGGTGACATTACACATCCCTGTCTAAGACCTACTTTTACCGGGAAGTAGTCTCCCTCTCTTCTACACACCCTAACCTGAGCCTCACTATCCTCATAAAAACTCTTTACAGCATTTAATAACTTACCACCTATTCCATATACTTGCAACATCTGCCACATTGCTCCTCTATCCACTCTATCATATGCCTTTTCTAAATCCATAAATGCAATAAAAACTTCCCTATCTTTATCTAAATACTGTTCACATATATGCTTCAATGTAAACACCTGATCTACACATCCCCTACCCACTCTGAAACCTCCTTGCTCATCCGCAATCCTACATTCTGTCTTACCTCTAATTCTTTCAATTATAACCCTACCGTACACTTTTCCTGGTATACTCAATAAGCTTATTCCTCTATAATTTTTACAGTCTCTTTTGTCCCCTTTCCCTTTATATAAAGGGATTATACATGCTCTCCGCCAATCCCTAGGTACCTTCCCCTCTTTCATACATTTATTAAACAAAAGTACCAACCACTCCAACACTATATCCCCCCCTGCTTCTGCTAGTTGGCACAGCTGGTAAGCAGTAAACATGTTTACATCCCTGTTGGGGCAGTTCTCTCGTGCTTGTTTGCATTTTTTTACAGTCATTTGGCCAAATTTCTTTTTTCTAACCATGGGTCCTAGTGATCTACTGCAGTTAGCCTCAAAAATACTCCATTTTCTTTTACAGTAAGAACATGGGAAGATACTATAGTCAAATTGGGACAGAAATGGCCTACGCTTCTGCCGCTGCCACTGCCTCTGCCACCTTATTATGGCCTATTTTATTCATTCTAGAGTATATATCATGTTTCTGTGCAAATTATATTGTTTATTATGTCATATTAGATGAATTGTGATAGATAAATAAGCCATACAGTTGATAATAGCATCATATTCAAGTATTTTTTCTCGTCTCTCCGGAGTGCAGGATCGAATTAATGGCTTTCAATTAATTTAAATGAGGAAAATTAATTTGATATACGAGTAAATTGAGTTACGAGCTAGCTCCTGGAATGGATTAAACTCATAAGTTAAGGTTCCACTGTATTTCACTTTACAGCAATTTTAGCTTTACAGTATCCTGGAACTTAACCTGCTGTATTAGTGATATTTTTAATTATTTTGATTATTGTCAACTAGTATATTGTAATTATTATTATTATAACTGTTATTACTTTAATAAGAGCTCCAAACTCATAAGGTAGGTGAAATAGCTGATGAAAATCCTCTGTCGGTAACTGAAAGAAGGGAGCTTACTGGCCACAGAAACAAAGTACACCTACACCAGTGAGGAAGTCTTGATGCAATACACATTGGATTGAACATGTTTGCCTCCCATTCTCCCAGGCGCTGTTTGATCCCATGGCTTTAGTGCTTTCCCAAAAATATAATAATAATATTGGTTAGGATATTGTACATGCTTTGTGTGATTTATTCTTTGTTTTAATCTTTCCAGATGGGAATATTACCTTACGTGGTATGGAGGAGTTAAGTGATAAAGAGAAATCTTCAGTTCCCTCTGTCAGTTCTGTCCAGGTAACATCTCTTACCATGAAGTTTTATTGCTATACAGAAGGCCTTCCCATGTACAAATTGCATGTACTCTGTTTCAACTTACAAGCATTTTGTATAGAAAACATTCATACACAGGAAGATTCATAAATAATCCATACTTAATGAGGAAATTTAGATGACAGTTTGATCCAATGTGGATTTATTAAAATCAAGTCACAATAGAGAACAAAAAAAGCACAATACTATGACTAGAACAATATGTAAATAACCCACACATAGGAATAAGAAACTTACGACGACCCTTCGGTCTGACTTGGACCAGTCCAAGTCGGACCTGTACAAGTTACAATAGTTGTGACTTGATAATAGTCTAAGGCAGAATGAGATGTTGTCAAAGTTTCCTATTCTAAATGTGGGTTATTTGCACATTGTTCCTGCTATGATATTGTGACTTTTGATCTTTATGTTTAACATTTACATTTGTAAGTTTATTCAGATATGCACAAATACAGTTACATAGGTTATCATACATAGCAGCATATATGTAGAGAACCTAGGATAACTCAAAAAAGTCAGACAGAGTGACTTATTTCCATTGGGGTTCTGCAGCTGACCATTTGTAAAACATTATTAGTGTCTTGGTTGCCTTATTTGTGAACGGAATTATTTGCTGATGCTGCAAGCGGGGCGGGGTTCAATTATACATCTTCGGAGGCTTCTTTCTTTATTTGCAAAGTCGTGGTGGGTACACAGGCTTGTGGGTTTGTGCCCATGGCCCAGGAGGGCCATCCCACAAGGGAGAGAGGGAGTAGGACTGTTGACTGCTGCTGGGCCGCTGAGTGAGTGAGTGAGCGAGTGCGAGTGGGACCAGCGTCCCACTGACCTGGGCAGGCCGAGAGAGGGCAGCACCTTAGTGCCGCGAAATATGAACTAAGCTGGCAGACAGCATAGGCTGTCTGTGCAGACAGTACAGGCTGTCTACATTCGCTCGGCCACCTACCTCGCGTCGTCCCGACGCGACAATACTGGTGGTGGTAAAAAAAAACTCGGTCTCTCTCTCGTAGGAACAGGGCACAGAACACAAAATAAAAAACATATATATACATATGGACATGAAAAAAAAAAACTTCCTACAGGGAGGGAAGAAAAAAAACATGTGGGGTGTGCTAAACATCGTGGTCAAAGGCAGTGAGCATCGATGGGCATCACTGCACGCCTTTTTGCGTCTGGACAGATACTGCAACACAGGAGACATCGCTGCGGCTGAGCTGTGACGTAACGGGTTACGGTCTCTAGAACGGTCAAGCAGTCATCGTAGGAGTCGCTGCAGGTTTCGCTCAACCTGGGGCACGACATGCTGGTGCCCTCAAGTGAGGTGTCGTCAAAACTCGGCAGCTGGGCAGGACTTCTGGCAAGCGACTCAGGAGGACACTTCTCGACTGGTACTGTTGCTGGGCTGTCACTGCCGGCGAGCGTGGAGTGAGTCGTGGAGCGAGTCGTGGTAGAGACGACTGGGCGAAACATCAGGGAGTCGTAACATCATACACCATACTGCAGTGAGCGAGCTAGCAGTCAAAGTGATATCATCTTTGTGCAGGAGCTCACTGAAGCTATGACACGAGGCTGACACAGCGCCTGCCGACAGGGCTTAAACTACGGCTTGACGAGTGTCGTTCTCTCAGCAGTTGGAGTTATAGCAGAGGTTAGTCTAAGCATCCCCAGACTTGTTTCTCTACATATAACTGCACTCTGAAGGTCTGGAAGTGAAGTGAAACAAATCTCGATGGAAAACGTAGCAGGTACGATTCTGCAGAACATCACAAGCGGCGAACAATAAGAGCTTTCTGTACAAGAGGCTCGGTCACTCGGAGCTGAGTAATATCAGCTGTCAAACGCGCTGGTCACACCGGGTGACAGGCAACAAAGTGCTACACAGGGGTCTGGCCGCAGACCACACTGGACAAACGGAAAACTTTACATACACCCGAGGTACATGTGGCACAACATGGCTTAAACTAGCAAATCATGCTTTTCTGTGCACAAAATTGACACTAAGCCATACATTAACATGGGAGAACACTGACTGAGAGGAATTAATTAACACACGACATATATCTTTTTCTCCATGGGGAAGTGGAATAGACTTCTTCCTCTGTCAGCTATGTGTGTTGTAAGAGGCGACTAAAATGCCAGGAGCAAGGGGCTAGTAACCCCTTCTCCTGTATAAATTACTAAATTTAAAAAGAGAAACTTTCGTGTTTCTTTATGGGCCACCCTGCCTCGGTGGGATACGGCCGGTTTGTTGAAAGAAGAACTAGATATATCTTCTCTCAATCTTCTCAACAATACTGACATAATTACTGAAACACTCGATGTGACATCATGTGATGTCAGGCGTGACGTCGCGAGGTGACATCAGCAGACATCTCGAGGTGATGTCAGGCAGCCATCGTGACGTCATGAAGTCGGGCAGCAGCATCAGTAACTCACGTGGCTCATAGATACACATGGCATCGTCCACACCTCACGTGGCATCGGGATCCATGTGGCGTCGTGATCTACGTGGCTTGCTGATCCACATGGCTTGCTGATCCACATGGCTTCGAATGGCGTCGGGCACTCGGATACAATAAATGTAATACAGTGGAACCTCGGCTTTCATATACCCCAATTTTCATAGGATTCAGTTTTCAACGACTTTTTTTGTCAAAATTTTGTCCCAGTTTTCGTACATCCGGTAGGTTTTCATAGAGTTGAAAACGGTCCGTACCAAATGCATCCACCTGCCCTCAGTCACTCAAGCACCCACACAAAGCATCCCATGCGTTCGTGACTCAGTCTGCCTTTGTTTCTCATTGAGTGAGCGTCACCCCGCTCGTTCATCTGAAACATTTCGTAATCCATTGTTTTTTGTGTTTGTTTATTGAGTGCAACTGCTAAATAAGCCACCATGGGGCCAAAGAAAGTTCCGAGTGCCAGCCCTTTGATAAAAAAGGCAAGAAACACAACCTTATGCCTTCTGTGGAATCTATTGTGTCTTTGGGGAAGTCCATGAAGTTGGATGTGAGTGGCCAGGATGTGGAAGAGTTAGTGGATGACCACAGGGAAGAGCTAACCACTGTAGAGCTGCAAGACCTTCAACTGGAACAGCAACAGATCGCAGCTGAGGAAATTGCTTAAGAGGAGGTGGAAGAGAGAGGGGAGAAGGTGCCTTCGTCAATGATTAAGGACGTGTGTGCAAAGTGGAGTGAGTTGCAAAGTTTTGTGGAGAAATATCACCCTAACAAAGCTGTTGCAAGCTGTGTCTTCAACATGTTCATTGACAATGCAAATCTTAAAGAGATGCCAGAAACAGACCTCGCTGGACAGATTTTTTTGTGCAACAGGATACAGTGACTCTCAAGCTGATGCAAGTGCCAGTAAAAGACAAAGAAGGGAAGTAACCCCAGATAGGGCCTTCATACCTGAAATCCTTATGGAAGGGGATTCCCCTTCCAAACAATAACCTCTCCTCCTTCCTCTCCCCTCCTTGCCATCTTCCATATGCCAACAAGAGGGTGGTTATGGTTGTGATGGTGGTAGAGGGTGGTAGTGATGGTTGTAGAGGGTGGTAGTGATGGCAAACAATCAAAGATGTTGAGTTGCTGTTGTTGGTGTGGATCAACGAAAAACAGTTAATGAGAGACAGTGTTGTGGAGGCAATAATTTGTAAAGGATATGCCAACAAGAGTCTTCAGTAAAGGTAAAAATTATTTAAATGTTCATTTATCCATTAAAATTAGTGCTTTATATTTATTTCTCATTGTTTTCTGTATGTAAAACTATAGTTATTCTCTATGAAATGTATTTTTTGTTAATATTTTTGGGTGTCTGGAACAGATTAATTGTATTTACATTATTTCTTATGGGAAATATTGCTTCAGTTTTCATACGATTCAGTTTTCATCAGACTTTTTAGAACGGATTAATCACGAAAACTTGAGGTTCCACTGTATGTAATTGTTTTTAAAGTGGTTGATTTCTAGCTATTTGGTAAATTTGAGTGGTCCAGTGTAGTTCTTACGTTAATGTTTAGTGTTATGCTTGGTACTCAGCTCCTGGATCCACTACTTCACTGGCCACTTGCCAAATTCACTCCCTGCTGGCCTCATAGACCCTATCGTACCTTTTCTTAAAAATGTGAATATAGCCTGCCTCCACCACTTTATTGGGAGCATTCCTCTTCCCAACCACCCTAAGAGTGAAGAAATACTTCCTGGTACCCATGTGGCTCATATCTTTAACTTCCAGCTTGCTTTTCTACCCTATCAATTCTTTTAATGTTGCAGCCTCTCCTCACTTAGCGACATACTCGTTTACTGACGCCTTGGACTTACGACGGGCTCTCTGACCAGTATTTATACCTAAATAATATATATAAGAGCTTATTTCCTCCATTCTGTTTATTTCAATTTACAGTACACTACTGTATGAACATTTAAAAATATACCAGCAATGTTATAAATGGTGCAAAGATGACATTAAAGCAATATCAAAGATGGTTGACACAAACCTTACTACCATTACAGTATGCTCCTCACTTAGCAACGAATTCGTTTAACAATGTGGTCTTAGGAACGGAACTCCGTTGTTAAGTGAGGAGAGGCTGTATTATGTTATGGAGTGTGAGCAGGGTAATATTTTGTTGAAGGGATTCAAGGTGACTGGTTAGCCAGACTTGAGTCCTGGAAATGGGAAGTACAATGCCTATACTTTAAAGGAGGGGTTTGGGATATTGGCAGTTTGGAGGGACATCTGAGCTATTGTATTTGAGCTTCTCTGCAAAGACAGTGATTATGTAAGAGTGACGGTTAAAGTGTTGAATGATGATGAAATATTTTTTTTTCTTTTTGGGTTTTTCTTTCCTTTTGGGTTACCCTGCCTCATTGAGAAATGACCAACAGGTTAAAAAAAAAAAAAAAAAAAAGTCCCCCCTAGTTATTCTGTCCTCCAATGTCATTAGATTCAATTCCTCTCCTTTAAACCCTTTTACGTCAAAACCCCAAACCAAAGTGTTCCTGGGTCGCAAAAATTTGAAAAAAAAAATTTTTTTTTTTATAAAAATGTTATTAACGATTTTTTTTTCTGTCGTTTTTGCCCAAAAAAAAAAAAAAAAATTCCCAACAGCTTCCCGAGAATAAGTCCTAAATTTTTGTAAAATTTGATTTGCAAGGGCAAAGCGAAAAGCCACTCCCCCGGTAAACTTTGTTTACTTGTATTCGATGGTTTCATTTTTTTTTTCATATTTTATTTTTTACTAACTTTTTGGCCTGTGAGACCAAATTATTGGCAATTTCAAATAACACTCGTTGAATGTAACAAATTATAACAAAAAACACTCGTATCATTAAAATGTTGCTAAAACTTTTTTTACAAAAACAAACATTGTAAACAAATGTTAATTGATTGTTCTAAAATAATATAATATGTAAAACACGGGCACTTTTTAGAACTGCTGCGCTTGGGGAAAATTTTAAAACTGGGTTAAGCACTGGTGTCTTACCCCCCCCCCCCACATAAAACGAGGGGGTCTCTGCTTTTTTGGGGTGTTTTGTGGTATGTCCACAGACAAAACCCTTTTGGTTTTTTCTTGGCGTAGTAGAGGCGTGGAATGGGGTAGTGATCACCGGCCTCGGACGAGAGGACATGTGTTGTAATTTCGTGGGCGCGGTCATTGAGGTTTTTGTTCCTTTGTCTTGAATTTTTTTTTGTCTGATGCTGAAAAACAAATTCACCCGTATTGGGTTTCTTCTTGGTCTTAAACTTAAAGTTATGATTAGCTTTGGAAAGTCAAGAAGTGGAAAAACGTTTTATGTCCCACTTATAACTTTTTGGAACCATTCGAAACCCCCAATCGCATGTAATTTTGTCCATAAGTGCATTTTGGGGTTTGTAATCCATCACAGCTGCGGGTTTTACAATGGGTTCATTGGTTCTCTATTCGCTTCCCGTGTCTACCTTTTTGTGTCGGTGAATGATGTCGCAGTGTGACATCATTTTGTATCCCCAAAAACCATGATGTCATTGGCAGCAAAACCGCACTTCATCTCTAGCTGCCACATCAACCTGGGCATATGTTTACGATTCCACGCACTGTGCCACACATCTGTCATGTTCATCGAAAGAAATCACGGGTAAGGGTTTGTGAAACGTTGTCAGAAATAAAAATTCCCCCTTTAAAGATATGGCTCCATTTTGTTCAACCACATCACCAGAGATTCCCATAACTTTCGGGATTTTTCCAAATGTTTTACTGCCAGTGTACACAATTTACCAAAAACCAGCCGTTTTAAAATCACAAGAAAAAATAACTTTATACCAAAGGTTTCCCTTGCTTGGTATATATGCTTGAATAGATCTTCCTTTGAACAAAATCAAAGACCAAACAATAACCCCTTTCCCAAAGGGATAAAAATACATACAGCCTTTTGTTTCAGGGACATAAAAAACTTTTATTCAAAAAATTGTCGCTTCGGGCGGGGGTTTTTTCTGAAAAGTGAACTACTAACAGTAACACAAATCTATTCCTGGGTAAATGTCACGAAAGCAGGGGTTTTAAATAGGCGGTCTTTTACCCCGTATGTGTTTACATTGCTTATACACATGGGTTGCATTTTTGTGGCCAAAAAAACAGATACATCCTTTCCCAGTTGTTCCTTTTCCCCTGGTGTAGGGTGTTTTGGGGGACAGAATAGTGTTTTCCATGGTGTTTCAAGAAGTTTTTTTTTCCCTGACAGTAATGCCATAGGGGTTCATCGCGAACAACTGAAAACATTCCCGTTCGTGGGATTGTTCCCCAAATGAAAATGATGGCCGTAATTCCACATTGTCCCCTAAAATCATGGGGTTGGGAAAAACTCGTTATTTGTGCAATCCAGATGCTGTCAGCTGGTGCGTTTGGTATTGTAATGTGGGTTTTGGTTTTGCGGTTTGGGTTTTGGTTGTTGTGCAAGTGTGGGGGCTGGTGACTGGTTGTGTTTTGCAGAGTCAGAGCGGGGGTAGTTTCGTGGCCCGTGTGGTGTCACTGACTTGCCACCATCACCACCCCACCACCGCCGCTGCCCACTTTCAAGATACCACTAACAATACACATCTTTACTATAGGAGTTGTGGGCCACGGGGTGTGCTCCGAGATGTACCCTTCCCTTTTAAGGCATATGGCACACTACCCGACCGCAGCGAGTCGTAAAACGCACTTCATGGGGAAATTCCCCCCCTCCTGTCAACGAATGTTTCAATAACCTTTAAACATACACTATAACTTGCATGCTCACATCTGATCTTGTTCATGGGCAAAAAGTTTTCCCCTTTGTCCTGGTACAGGGGAACAGAACGAGGGCCCCGCAAGAGTGGAAGGCTGGGGGTCATTGGGTTTTTTATACAATTATGTTCCCGGGCCTTTTTTTAGTTCCCCCCTTCAAAACCGGGATTCATTTCATGCACTTTAACACTGTTTGAAACTATCACTTGGGGAAAAAAAGACCCCCAATCCGCCGAGGGTGAGGAACTTCTTACCCCTAGGCATGGTGAAAAAAGGACTACCAAAATGGCGTTCCCCAAAAGCACCCCTGATCCCAGATTTTTTTCACAGGGTGCACACCAACCACTGAGACCCATTCTCTCTCGTGTAAGCCTACCAGCCCTCTCCCGCTTGATTTGAAGCCGCTAGAATTTATGCGTATAGATACGTCAAACACGGTATCTCCCATGACGTATATATACGACCGCGACAGTCAAGGGGTTAATAAAATATCACTATATGATCATTATCCAGTTACTATCTGTCACATATCTTATAAATTATTGACTTGATAGGTGATAGAGAGATTGTGCACAACTTTACTAGATATAATTATTCTTGGTTATAATAATTATTGTAGTTATTTATTTGCAGATTACAACAGTAGGCGAGCTCATCAACGTACCACCAAAAGCATCATTTAGTGAACCAACAATCTTCAGAAAAAAAAGAGGAGCCAAAAAGAAAGCCAAATGGTTGTGTGACATATGTGGCAAGGGATTCCTACACAAAGGACGATATCTCTTACACACGTAAGTTTTGTAAGTTAATAATGATGGAGAGAATCAGACTTGAATCCTGGGGGTGGGAAGTACAGTACTGTGAGGGAGGCTTGGGAATGCTGCTGTGTGAAGGGTTATTTGAATTGGGATGTTGGCATATGTACAGCAAGACTGTTATTGAATGAATGTGTTTGTTTCCTTTTCTTGGGTACCTTACCTTGGTGGGAAATGGCTACTATGGTAAAAAATAATTACCTGAAATGTTACACTGTATAATTAATAGCAAGACTGTTGAGCATAGTTACTTTGGGACCACCAACTAGGTAGTTAGTGTCTGTCTGAGGTAGTGGCATATATTGGATTACAATTTAGGGGAGGCTTAAAAATAATAAGATGCTTAAAAATAAAATAAATCGCTTTTAAGATAGTGGAACCTTGGCTTATGAGTTTAATCCGTTCCGTGACCTTGCTAGTATCCCGATCTGCTCGTATGCTGAGTCAGTTTTCCTCATTTAAATTAATTGAATTGTGATTCTTCTGTTCCAGCAGAATTCCTGCTCTCAGGAGGCAGGAATATGATGCTAATATCAACTCTTTGATCTATCAGAGTTCATCTAATATGACATATTAAACAATATAAATAACATAGAAACCTGATATATACTCTAGAATGAATAAAATACATAAGTGGTGGCGGCCATTCCCTACCTCAAGCAGCCGCCTTGTTATGGGTCAGCAGGGGAGACCTCCCGCCATCCCGCGACACTCCCGACACCACCATCCCAGCTTATATGTTCAGTTCCACTTCTCTCCTATAAGCTAGCTGTGTTTGTGACTTGTGTTTTGAACTTTTAATTACTATATCTTGTATCTGCCAAGCAATCATGACTCCCAGTAGGTATACCAGTGTTGCTGAATGACTGACTGACTTGACTGGCTTACTGACTGACTTGACTGATTTATTTAACTGACTGAATTACAGACTTTGACTGACTGACTGACTGACTTGACTTGACTTGACTTGACTTGACTTGACTTACTGACTTACTGACTTGACTGACTGATTTACTGACTTGACTGGCTTACTGACTTGACTGACTGACTTACTGACTGACTTACTGACTTGACTTACTGACTCGTCTTACTGACATGACTTACTGACTTGACTGAATGATTTGACTGACTTACTGAATGACTTAAAGTTAGACTTTTTCACTGAAGAGGACCCTGAAACCGTGTCTAGAGCAGCTGTTGCTTATCCATCAGTTGTATAATGTACTGCAAGGTAAAATAGAACAGAAATCCATTACAGAATTTATGCACACTCCAGTACAAGCATCGACTTCAGTACCAGAGCCTATACCATCCACCTCAGCCCAGTAGGACCACAGCATAACTCTCAACTCTCTTCACAATCATCCACAAACACTAGCGCCCACAATTTAAGGCAAGAACTGCTATTATTTCTGTTGCAGTTGTAATCTTAAGCAGTAAAAACAACATAATACATCACAACAATGAACTACAATTATATATTCACTTTTACTTTTATAAGATCTGGAGGTATAAAAAAAAGTTGTTTGAGGGGGAAGCTTGCATCCGGAATTTTTGCTCATATCCAGAAACAAAAATTTGACCGAACAACTGCTTGTATCCTGAAAAATTTGTATGGCGGGTATTACAACCCAGGAACAATAAGGTCTGTTATCCTGGGTATAAAGGGAAGCAAGGAGTGGAACAAACACAGCTTAATGACTTTGAATTATATTTTCCTTCACCAAGTGCAATTATAGGTATTTACAAAGTGGTTTTTTTTTTTTTTTTTTTTTTTAACAAGTCGGCCATCTCCCACTGAGGCAGGGTGACCCAAAAAGAAAGAAAATCTCCAACAAGAAAATACTTTCATCTTCATTCAACTCTTTCACCTCACTCACACATAATCACTGTTTTTGCAGAGGTGCTCAGAACACAGCAGCTTAGAAGCATATACGTATAAAGATACACAACATATCCCTCCAAACCATCTATATCCCAAACCCCTCCTTTAGAGTGCAGGCATTGTACTTCCTGTTTTCAGGACTCAAGTCCGGCTATATAAAAATATAAATCTTTCTTTCTTTCTTTCTTTCAACACACCAGCCGTATCCCACCAAGGCGGGGTGGCCCAAAAGGAAAAACGAAAGTTTCTCCTTTTACATTTAGTAATATATACAGGAGAAGGGGTTACTAGCCCCTTGCTCCTGGCATTTTAGTCGCCTCTTACAACACGCATGGCTTACGGAGGAAGAATTCTGTTCCACTTCCCCATGGAGATAAGAGGAAATAAACAAGAATAAGAACTAGAAAGAAAATAGAAGAAAACCCAGAGGGGTGTGTATATATGTGCTTGTACATGTATGTGTAGTGTGACCTAAGTGTAAGTAGAAGTAGCAAGACATACCTGAAATCTTGCATGTTCATGAGACAGAAAAAAGGACACCAGCAATCCTACCATCATGTAAAACAATTACAGGCTTTCGTTATACACTCACTTGGCAGAACTGTAGTACCTCCCTGGGCGGTTGCTGTTTACTGACCTACTACCTAAAAAAATATATATATAAATATATACAGTTAGAAATGTATGTGTACAACATGGTTAAGGCAAGGCAAAGACATAGCCTGGAGACAGAATGGACAACCATGTTCAACCAGCAGCTGGGTGAAAATGACAAGGGTGAGAATGTGAGAGGTGTCCACGTCACCTCCACAATTGCCAGTTCCACAATATGATTGGCTGAACCTAGGTGCTGATTTGACGATGGGGCCCCCAAATCATGAAACCCTTAACTACCTGGTTCGCTGGTTGGGAGGTAGCCTTTTATGAAACATCAGAAAGTAAATATTGCACCCAAGGAGATAGAAGACATGCTGATCATGAGGCCGGATGGAACAGAGCAAAAGAGGGTGATGTGTCTTATATGACTGGCATGACACTCAGGGAAAATACAGAGCCCAAAGAGGTTGGGAGGTTTCTTGCACACAAGGCAGAAACAAGACAGGGTCAGGTGTAGCATGGTTTTCCCAGGAAGAAGCGAAATTACAATCCCTTTGTAGGAGATTATGCGAGTTCATAAGCATACAAGGCTTGCTGCCTATAGGGCAACTCCAAGACTATCAGACATCCCCTAAAGGCCCAAGATCACCAAAAGAGACTACACCATGTTTGGTAGCATCATGAGAGGAGAGGTACCGCTTACATTAGCCAAGTGCAGAGAAGGAAGATCAAATGTTTTGTAGTCAAAATCAGGCCATTCTCCAAGGAATTGTTGTTGCAGGGAACATCACAGTACAGGAGGAGAAAGAGTAGGGAACTTGTGTTCTTTCCATTTAAGGGACATAGTTTCTAATGCGTCAACCATCTTGTCCACTAACCAGAAGACAAAGACCAGAAACATGCACTTAGCCCTTGTGGCAAAGACGTCAGTTTTTGGAGTGCTCCACCTCTCCAACATAGTTAAAGTTCTCATGTATGAGGCTTTCTGTGATGAGGAGACTGCTGCTATTGAGATACCTGCCCTCTTCCTGATAAATGTGAGGGAAGTCAAAAGGAAATTCAAGAAGTTTGAAAGAAGTCAGGGAAACCAAACTCAGTCATCCACCACTGGAGGGCCTCCAGTATCACTTGAGGGAGAGATAAAAATGTAGGAAGTACTGCTAACTAAGCCATACTTTTTTGTAGGTAATAAGGAAGCCCATCATTTGGAAAGCTTGAAGTAGTTTGAAGACATGCAGGCATGGAAAGAGAAGGCTGAATCAGTTAACAGAATGTCGTCTTGGTAGATAAATACACATGCTGTGTACAGTGGCTGTAAGTGATAAGGCAACAGATACATGTGAAAACCTGTAGTGCAGGCTTGAACCTGAAAGGCATACCACTAATTGGTAGCTCACACATTATATTAGGGAGGAGCAAACCCTGGAGATGGAGTCTCTCTTCAAGCTTGTCAAAGTCATATGAAGGTTCATATCCTCAGTGTACAAATTGAGATGAGCTTTCACCCACTAATACACTAATAATGAAGAAGCTCATGGAGAAGCATGGGAATATGTCTGCTATACCATTGTGAATAAGTCCCCATGATGGGAGACAGACACTGAAGGATCCATGAGGAAGAAAGGCCAACAGATATAATAATTGAACATGCAAAAGGATGTACTAAACTGAGTACATGTAAATAGAATGAGTGGCTTAAGATGTACATTTTTTTTTTTAACAAGTTGGCCATCTCCCACCGAGGCAGGGTGACTCAAAAAGAAAGAAATCCCCAAAAAGAAAATACTTAAATCATCATTCAACACTTTCACCTCACTCATGCATAATCACTGTTTTTGCAGAGGTGCCCAGAACACAACAGTTCAGAAGCATATACGTATAAAGATATACAACATATCTCTCCAAACTGCCAATATCCCAGACCCCTCCTTTAAAGTGCAGGCATTGTACTTCACATTTCCAGTACTCAAGTCCAGCTATATAAAAATAACCGGTTTCCCTGAATCCCTTCACTAACATTACCCTGCTCAAACTCCAACAGCTCATCAGGTCCCAAATACCATTTGTCTCCATTCACTCCTATCTAACATGCTCATGCATGCTTGCTGGAAGTCCAAGCCCCTTGCCCACAAAACCTCCTTTACCCTCTCCAACCTTTTAGAGGACAACCCCTACCCCGCCTTCCTTCCCCTACAGATTTATATGCTCTCCATATCATTCTACTTTGATCCAGTCTCTCTAAATGACCAAACCACCTCAACAACCCCTCTTCAGCCCTCTGACTAATACTTTTATTAACTCCACACTTTCTCCTAATTTCCACACTCCGAATTCTCTGCATAGTAATAAGAAATAAGAAATTGAAATAATTATATATATATACATGTAATTGTAATAAGTGTGTCATAGACTGGGTGATGTCTGGTTGGAGAAAGTGAAGTAGTGTATGAGGATTTAGCATAAACAGCTTTGCTGTGAAAATATAGTATATAAGATTTGGCTAAATTAATTTCTCCCAAAATTTTTTCACATTGTCATTGTATAGTACTACCATTTATTTATTTGTTTTATACATTTCAGTCGCCTTCACAAACAAGTTATCCTGCAGTGCGAGACGTGCAAGGACAGATTTTCAACCCGTGAAGACATAAACATCCACCAGCAGCATACTGAACACACTGGCTTAGGTAGGATTGTGTGGATTTGCGGTTTGAATGGAAGGGGAAGGGAGGTTGTACATTCACCTATATGTACTTGCTTATATGTGGTTGAAAGGAGTAGTCACAGCTCATGGCCCTGCCTCTTTGCTTGTTGCTACTAGGTCCACTCTCTTCTGGCTTCAAAAGCCTTTGTACCTCCTTTTAAAGCTGTGTATGGAATTCGCCTCTACTGCTTCACTCCAGATTGTTCCACTTCCTGATAACTCAAACGCTGAAGAAATACTTTCTAACATCCTTATGACTCGTCTGAGTTTTCAGCTTCCAGCTGTGCCCTTGTGTCTCTATTTTTTCATCTCTGAAACATTGTCCCTGTTCGCCTTGTCAATTCCTCTCAGTATTTTGTAAGTCATTGTCATATCCCTACTAGTACTGTCCTTCAGTGTCATCAGGTTGAGTTTCCTTAACCTCTCCCCATAGTGACTAGTCTTATTGGAAACCTCTGCACTGTCTCCAATTTCTTGATATGCTTGACATGGTGGATTCCATATTGGTGCTTCATACTCCAGTATGGGTCTGAGGTACACAGAGTACAGTGTCCTGAATAACTCCTAACTTAGATGTCAAAAAATTTTTCTTAGATTTGCCAGACATGCATTTGCTGCAGCAGTTATTTAGTTTGTGAGCCTTGGGATGTGCTTGGTATGATATTCACCACAAGGTCCTCCCTGAGTGAGGTTTGCAACTTTTGCTCCCCAGCCTATACTCCATCTGCAGTCTTCTTTTCCTTCCCCAAGCTCATAATTTTATGCTTGGTGGAGTTAAACTCAAGGGGCCTTTCCTGGTCCTCATCTGCTTGTATTCTCCTTATTAGTTTCACATCGTCTGTGAACAGGGATACCACTGACTATTCCTTCTATCATGTCATTCACATATACAAGAAACAGCACTAGCCCTAGGACTGATTCTTGTAGAACCGTACTCTTTATATAAACCCAATCTTGACACTTTGTTCATGGACCATCACTCATTTTCTTCCTGTCAGGTATGCCTTGATCCATTGCAGTGTTTTTCCTGCTATTTCTGCCTTCTCCTCAAGCTTTTGTACCAGTCTCTTTGTGGTACTGTCAAAAGCCTTCTTACAGCCCAAGAAAATGCATTCTACCCACACCCCCACCTCTCTCTCTCTCTCTCCTGTCTTGTTTCTGTTACCATGTTATAGAACTCCAGTAGGTTTCTGACACAAGATTTTTCATCCCTAAAGCCATGCTGGCTGCCATATTTGAACCCACTTCTTTCTGGGGGCTCATCACTCTTCTCTTGATAATCTTCTTCATAACTTTACATACTATACATGTCATTGACATTGGTCAGTAGTTTAATGCTGCCTGTCCATCTTCTTTCTTAAAATCTGGGACTACATTTGTTGTCTTCCACACTTTTACCAATTGCCCTGTGTTGATTGACTTGAAGATTGTTGCTAGCAGCATGCACTGTCCCTCTTGTTTCCTCTCTTAGGATCCACGGAGAGATGTTATCTGATCCTACTACCTTTGAGGTATCTAACTCACATAGCAGCTTCTTCATCTTTTCCCCAGTTGTGTGTATTGTGTCCAGTGCTTGCTGGTGCACTCTGCTGCTTCAGTTGACTAGTAGCCTTACTGTCTCTTTTGTGTACTGACCTAGTTGTGGTTACAGGGGTTGAGTCACAGCTCCTGGCCTTGCTTCTTCACCAGTCGCTACTAGGTCACTCTTCCTGCTCCATGAGCTTTATCATACCTCTTCTTAAAGCTATGTTTGAATCCTGCCTCTGCTACATCACTTCCCAGAGTATTCCACTTCCTGAAAACTCTGTGACTGAAGAAATACTGCCTAACATCCCTGTGATTCATCTGAGTCTTCAACTTCCAATTGTGACCTCTTGTTGCTGTGTCCCATCTCTGGAACATTCTGTCTCTGTCCACCTTGTCAATTCCTCTCAGTATTTTATGTCATCATATCCCCCCATCTCTCCTGTCCTCCAGTGTCATCGGGTCGATTTCCCTTACCCTCTCCTCGTAGGACATGCCCCTTAGCTCCAAGACTAGTCTTGTTACAAACCATTGCACTTTCTCTAATTTCCGTATGTGCTTGGCTAAGTGTGGGTTCCAAACTGGTGCTGCATACTCCAATATAGACCTGACATACACAGTGCACAGGGTCCTGACCGATTCCTTATTGAGATGTCAGAATGCTATTCTTTGGTTTGCTAGGCTCCCATATGCTGCAGCAGTTCTTTGGTTGATGTGCACTTTAGAAGATGTGCCAAGTGTTATACTCACCCCAAGATCCTTTTCCTTGAGTGAGGTTTGTAGTCTCTGGCCCCCTAAGCTGTACTCCATCTGCAGTTTTCTTTGCCCTTCCCCAATCTTCATGACTTTGCACTTGGTGGGGTTGAACTCCAGGAGCCAGTTTCTGGACCAGGCCTGCAGCCTGTCTAGATCCCTTTGTAGTTGTGCCTGGTCTTCTTCCAATTGAATTCTTTTAATCAACTTCACATCATCTGCAAATAAGGACACTTCTGAGTCTATTCCTTCCGTCATGTCATTCACATTTACCAGAAACAGTACCAGTCTTAGGTCTGACCTCTGTGGAACCCCGCTCATCACAGGTGCCCACTCTGACACTTCATCACATACCATGACTCTCTGATGTCTTCCAGACAAGTATTCCCTGGGCCGTTGCAGCGCCTTCCCTGTTATACCTGCCTGGTCCTCCAGCTTATGCACTAATCTCTTGTGTGAAACTATGTCAAAAGCCTTCTTACAGTCCAAGGAAATGCAATCTACCCACTCCTCTCTTGTCATACTACTGTCACCCTCCAGTAGGTTTGTGACACAGGATTTCCTATCCCTGAAGCTATGCTGGTTGTCGTTGATAAGCTCATTCCTTTCTTGGTGCTCCACCACTCTTCTTCTGATAATCTTCTCTATGACTTTGCATACTATACATGTCAGTAACACTGGTCTGTAGTTTAATGCTTCGTGTCTATCTCCTTTTTTAAAAATTGGTACTACCTTTGCTGTCTTCCATACCTCAGGTAGTTGCCCTGTTTCGATAGATGTGTTGAAGATTGTTGTTAGTGGCATATATAGTGCCTCTGCTCCCTCTCTCAGGGCTCGTGGAGAGAAGTTATCCGGCCCCATCGCCTTTGAGGTATCTAGCTCACTTAGCAGCCTCTTCACTTCTTCCCCGGTTGTATGTATTATGTCCAACACTTGATGATGTACCCCACCTCTCTGTCTTTCTGGAGTCCCTTTTGTCTCCTCTGTGAACACTTCTTTGAAGCTCATGTTGTGCTCCTCACATACTTCTTGGTCATTTCTTGTGATCTCCCCTCCCTCCTTCCTCAGCCTGATTACCTGGTCCTTAACTGTTGCTTTTCTCCTGATGTGGCTGTACAACAGCTTTGGGTCAGATTTGGCTTTCGCTGCTATATCATTTTTGTATTGTCGTTGGGCCTCCCTTCTTACCTGTGCATATTTGTTTCTAGCTCTACAACTGCTTTCCTTATTTTCCTGGATTCTTTGCCTTCTATACTTCTTCCATTCTCTAGCACACTTGGTTTTGGCCTCTCTACACCTTTGAGTGAACCAAGGGCTCATTACTTTTGTTACCCTTGGGTACAAACCTCACCTCAGCTTCCTTGCATGTTGTTGTCACATATTCCATCATCTCATTTACTGACTTCCCTGCCAGTGCTCTGTCCCACTGAACCTCATGCAGGAAATTCTTCATGCCTGTGTAGTCCCCTCTTTTATAGTTTGGCTTCATTTGTCCTGCCCTTCCTGCTTCCCTCTCCACTTCTAATTCTGCTACGTATTCGAAGCTCAGAACCACGTGGTCACTGGCCCCGAGGGGTCTTTCATATGTGATATCCTCAATATCTGCACTATCCAAGGTGAATACTAGGTCCAGTCCTGCTGGTTCATCCTCTCCTCTCCTCTCTGGTAGTGTCCCTTATGTGTTGGTACATGAGGTTTTCCAGTACCACATCCATCATCTTGGCCCTCCACGTTTCTGGGCCCCCATGTGGCTCCAGGTTCTCCCTGTCAGTTTCTTTGTGATTGAAGTCACCCACAATCAACAGCTTTGCCCTGCTTGCATGAGCCCTTCTGACCACCCAGTGTGTCAACCATCACTCTGTTAAATAACAAAAAAAGGTACAATACCGTGACTGGAACGATACACAAATAACCCGCATGTAGAAGAGAGGAGCTTACGACGACGTTTTTGTCCGACTTGGACCGAAATGTAAGTAAGGTTCAACTTATGTCGAACCTTACTATTATTATAATTATTATAATAATTATTATAATTCTCCATGGGGAAGTGGAACAGAATTCTTCCTCCGTAAGCCATGCATGTTGTAAGAGGCAACTAAAATGCCGGGAGCAAGGGGCTAGTAACCCCTTCTCCTGTATAAATTGCTAAATTTGAAAAGAGAAACTTTTGTTTTTCTTTTTGGGCCACCCTGCCTCAGTGGGATACGGCCGGCTTGTTGAAAAAAAAAATTTTTATAATTATTATTATATAGTGCTACATACATAGCTTTTAGTACAGTATTATTATACATGTATTATTATTCTCAGTATTATATTAATATTATATTATTATACTCTCTAGAAAGGTGTAGAATTGGGGGGATATGATTGAGGTGTATAAATGGAAAACAGGAATTAATAAAGGGGATGTAAATAGCATTCTAAAAATATCTAACAATAACAGGACTCGCAGCAATGGTTTTAAATTGGAAAAATTCAGATTCAGGAAGGATATAGGAAAGCACTGGTTTGGTAATAAAGTTGTGAATGAGTGGAACAAACTCTCAAGTATCGTCATAGAAGCTGAGACGTTGTGTAGTTTTAAAAATAGGTTGGATTAATACATGAGTGGGTGTGGGTGGGTGTGAGTTCGACCTAACTAGCTTGTGCTACTACGTCGGATGCTGTGCTCCTCCTTTAAGTGATGTGTCTGACCGCACTAGGTCAGTGAGGTCAGTCGGTCAGTGAGCTTAAGGTCACTAGGTAAGTTAGCTTAAGCCACTAGGAGAATTGGACCTGCCTCGCATGTTATTATTATTATTATTATGTTATTATTAGTATTATACATATTATTATTATTATTATTATTATTATTATTATTATTATTATTATTATTATTATTATTATTTTTTTTTTTTTTTTTTTTTTTTTTTTTTTTTTTTTTCTCTCAACAAGTCGGCGTCCCCCACCGGGGGCAGGGTGACCCAAAAAAGAAAGAAAATCCCCAAAAAGAAAATACTTTCATCATCATTCAACACTTTCACCACACTCGCACATTATCACTGTTTTTGCAGAGGTGCTCGGGAATACAACAGTCTAGAAGCATAAACATATTAAAGTTTCACAAATATCCCTCCAAACTGCCAATATCCCAAACCCCTCCTTTAAAGTGCAGCATTGTACTTCCCATTTCCAGGACTCAAGTCCGATATATGAAAATAACCGGTTTCCTGAATCCCTTCACTAAATATTACCCTGCTCACACTCCAACGATCGTCAGGTCCCAAGTACCCTTGTCTCCATTCACTCCCATCTAACCGCTCACGCACGCTTGTGGAAGCCAAGCCCCTTACCCAAAAACCTCCTTTACCCCCTCTCTCCAACCCTTTCGGGACGACCCCTACCCGCCTTCCTTCCCCTATAGATTTATATGCTTTCCATGTCATTCTACTTTGATCCATTCTCTCTAAATGACCAAACCACCTCAACAACCCTCCTCTGCCCTCTGACTAATACTTTTATTAACTCCACACCTTCTCCTAATTTCCACACTCCGAATTTTCTGCATTTAAAATTACACCACACATTGCCCTTAAAAAGGACATCTCCACTGCCTCCAACCGTCTCCTCGCTGCTGCATTACCCAAGCTTCACACCCTATAAGAGTTGGTACTACTATACTTTCATACATACCCTTCTTTGCCTCAATAGATAACGTTTTTTTTACTCCCCATATCCTCAAAAGCACCACTCACCTTTTTCCCTCATCAATTCTATGATTAACCTCATCCTTCATAAATCATCCGCCGACACATCAATTCCAAGTATCTGAAAACATTTACTTCTTCCATACTCCTCCTCCCCAATTTGATATCCAAATTTTTCTTTATCCAATCATTTGACACCTCATCACCTTACTCTTTTCTATGTTCACTTTCAACTTTCTTTCCTTTACACACATTCCCAAACTCATCCCTAACCTTTGCAATTTTTCTTTAGAATCTACCATAAGCACAGTATCATCAGCAAAAAGTAACTGTGTCAATTCCCATTTTGAATTGATTTTCCCCCTAATTTAATCCCACCCCTCTCCCAACACCCTAGGCCCTTTCTTCCTTTACAACCCCATCTATAAAATATTAAACAACCATGGTGACATTACACATCCCTGTCTAAGACCTACTTTTACCGGGAAGTTGTCTCCCTCTCTTCTACACACCCTAACCTGAGCCTCACTATCCTCATAAAAACTCTTTACAGCATTTAATAACTTACCACCTATTCCATATACTTGCAACATCTGCCACATTGCTCCTCTATCCACTCTATCATATGCCTTTTCTAAATCCATAAATGCAATAAAAACTTCCCTATCTTTATCTAAATACTGTTCACATATATGCTTCAATGTAAACACCTGATCTACACATCCCCTACCCACTCTAAAACCTCCTTGCTCATCCGCAATCCTACATTCTGTCTTACCTCTAATTCTTTCAATTATAACCCTACCGTACACTTTTCCTGGTATACTCAGTAAGCTTATTCCTCTATAATTTTTACAGTCTCTTTTGTCCCCTTTCCCTTTATATAAAGGGACTATACATGCTCTCTGCCAATCCCTAGGTACCTTCCCCTCTTTCATACATTTATTAAACAAAAGTACCAATACAATATAAATAATTTGCAATTTTTATTCACACAAAAACTAGAAGATTTACTGTATGCAGACTACTGCATTATTGTAATACGTAATTGTATAAATAATGTTAACCCATTCATGACTGCATATTGGAATGGAGGTGACGTCATTTGTTTACTTTTGAACATCGCCAAAAAAGCGAACAGTTCTGCTACTCTGAGCTCAATTTCAAGGTACTTTTCGTCATGGAACCATATCTGTTTCTGTAATATATCTTCCATTCTATCAAATAAGACCAAAAAAATGAGAATAAACCATAAAAACCATACAAAAATACCGCTAAGGGGCGGCTAATGGCTTAGAAGTGAACTCCATTATTTGTGGTCCAATTTCTTTCATTTTTGGTGTACGTTTAGAAGTGTCTTTCCATCATACATTGCCCAAGTTTCAATAAGATAGTCCAACAAACAAATGAGATCCAATTCCCTAGATCAAGAGCAAGAGCCCCTCACCAGCGTCAAGGAATCTCCCTTGAGGCCTGCTCGCTTATGGAAATTTCACTCGCGTATGGAAGCAAAAACTCGACAGATCGACTGCTCATATTTGGAAAAACTCGCACGTGGATGTGCTCGCAAGTGGAGGTTCCACTGTATTGTATAAGCAAGATGATTATCCAGGACCTTACAGACAACCACAAGCTGCTCTAATAACTGTATTTGTTTAATGGGAATAGAACAGGTAATCATTGTATTTACAATGTCTTTTGTGAGAGACGGAGCATATTTTGGCATTTTCCTCTCAGTAGATCAGATATCAAGGCTGTCCTTTCTGTTATCTCATCATATCCAGATTAGCTCTTCAATTGAGATTTCTGGATAATTATTAGATGGGTAAAAGAGCATCTGCTGTACAGTATACTCTTAATATTTTAAAAAAATACAGAAATATTCTTTCTGTTTCAGGAATCATTGAAATTGAGAAAGAAGGAGAGCAAGTGGAGTTTAAGTGCCCACACTGTCCTAGTCGGACCTTTGTAACACAGGAAGGTTATAATGTAAGTACGTACTGGGAAGCACATATTTGTAATTGTATCAAGGAGGTAGAGACATACTGCAGTTAGTAACAAAAAGGCATGAGTACAGAACAAGCTTATGTTGTTGCAGTGTTTTACTCTAGAGCTTTATTAAGTCAGTAACTTGATAAAGCTCTACATAGAGCAAAATGTTTTCACAGCTATAGCTTGCTGTGCATCTGTCTTTTCTTCATTAAATATATCATGATGATGAATACATGTGTTATTAACCCTTTCAGGGTCCAGAGGCTAAATTTCAAAGTGTGCACCAGGGTCCAAGAATTTTCAAAAAAAAAAATTTTGTTATTTTCTCTTATGAAATGGTAGAGAATCATTTTCTGAAGGCAATAAAACAAAAAGTACAAAATTTGATGGAAAATTGACGAAATTATGCTCTCGCGAATTTTGATGTGTCGGCAATATTTATGAATTGGTGATTTTGCCGACTTTGACTCCCATTTTAGGCCAATTACATTATTTCAGTCAACTAAATTCTTAGCTATTTCCACTAAGTATTACTTCTATTCTATCAAACTGGAGCCACAAGAAATGCCAAGTCAAAACTGTTTCAATACAAAAATAAAGTGATCGGAAATTGGATATTTGGCCAAATTTAACACAAAGTTCAAAATATTCCAATTTCAAAAATAGGGTCCGAATTAAAAATGTAGGTATTCCTGGCACTAAACTAAACATTTCTCTGGTCATTAGTTATGGTTTTGAGGCTTTACAAAATGATTTCATTTTTTATTTTTTTATTCACTTAATAATTTTTATTCAAATCAAAAAATAGACGATTTATTCTTATGCAAATTATTGTAAGTGATTGTATAAATGTCATCACAATTTGTTGAATTGTATGTAAGCCCACCAGCTTCCATGTATTAGACGTGTGATGTGTTTTTCTTCCATATGTTTACTCTTGAAACATCGCGCAAAAATTTAAATATTTGCTACTTTGAGCTCGTTTCAAGCCATTTCCAGTGCTAAAAAAACAATCAAAATCATCTCTATTTCTGTAATATATCTTCTTCTATCAAATGAGACCAAAGACAATGTAAATACAACTATAAAAAACATACTAAAAAACACTGCATAGTTGCTGTTTTAATCGAAAATCACGGTCTCAGTTTTTTCTCTCATTATACACTGTGTGCTGCAGGATTTGTTTTATGTGGTGCACACATACCACATAGATGTATTCTCTCATATCTAGGCCCAAATTTACCACTCACAGCTTATCAGAGTGAGCTGAGCTCATGGCGTAGATATACGGTTTGGACCCTTAATGTAAAGCTGTAGATCTACGGCACGGACCCTGAAAGGGTTAATAAATTTTGCAATGCTCTTAGTGCACACTGAAGAAAGGAGTGCACTGGCTCAGTCTTTCCTATGTAGTTTAGAATAAGATTTCCCAGGATACTCAGTTCTCGATATTAACTTAACAGTGTAGTTATGACTACTTAATTATTGAAAGAACTAGTTGCTTTTGTGAAAACACATTAGAATAATTTATCTGTATAACTTAATTTGAATTTCATATTCATAATTTTTTTTAACACTGGCTGTCTCCCATCAAGGTAGATGACCCCCATTAACCCTTTCAGGGTCCGTCCCGTAGATCTACGGCTTTTCAGTGAGTGTCCAAAACCCGGAAGATTCTACGCCAAAATTCTAGAGCCGTCAAATTTAGCGCGAAAGCGCTCATAGGCCTACATGTGAGAGAATGGGTCTGCGCCGTGGGTGTGCGCCGTAAACAAAAAATCTAGGCGCCTGCATAGCATTGTGGGAACGCCGGCTCATTCACCCTTGTTCACCATGCCTCGTCGCAAGTCAGCTCTCACTCCCCGGAAAATTGGGACTCCTCCTCTTCTGTCTGATAGTTCTGACACTGAGGAAGTTGGAAATGAAGACTATTCTTACGGCTTTGATTAAGCTTAGTGCCGAAAATAATGACCAGGATATCGATAATAGTGCAGAAAACCCCGACGATCCTTCGGACATTCTACCTCTGGTGTGGGCATCGTGACTCACGGTCGGTTGTTCTAAACGTAAGAGAAAACTAATCTTTTTCCCGTGCCAGGCTTGACTCAGTAATGACGATGATTCTGACGTGGTTGTGATTTTTAATGCGCTCGACGATCATTCGAGTACGTGATAGGAGGAAAACATTTTCCACCAGTGCAGCGTCGGTATGTTCGCCGCCGCATGCGCTCGGGTAGTGTACCCTATGCTGTGCCCAGGGGACGTGTTCATCCCGGCAGTAATTCCCGGGTCCTACACCGTTTTAGTTAGTGATGTGAGGATGATGTGGCTATTACACTTGGCATGGATGGGCCACAGGCGGGACAGTGGATGGGGTTAGGTGGTGCTGGTGGTGGTAGTGGCACCGCCAGGCGTGACTCACTGTGCCACACGGGACCCACGCTTGCTGTCTCGTCAGTTCAAGGGGACAAAGCGGAGCGTCAGCCACCAGACCCGCCACAACCACACCACCCATACAACCAGCTATGATGTCAGTTCCACCAGCAAACCGTATCTGGGATTGGGCAGCAAAATCCCAATTTTGTTCCAGCCACTCCACCACTTGATGGACTCTCAAAGTGGATCTTACTACCTGTCCCTTGTAACCTACGGCCAATAGCTGGAATTCTTTGAATTTTCTTTTGACAGCCTTTGATGGAAAAATTATTGCCAGGAAGTAATAAGTATTTTCAGTACACCATGGCAAATACGTCTTATCACCCAGTCAAGACTACAAGGTGGAAAGAGACGACTGTTGAAGAAATGTATTTGCTTTTTGCAAACCAATAATATGCTTATGCCTCATGTCTATAAAGCATAAAATAAAAAGCATTTACTGGTCCAAGATCAGCTAATTTGTACCCCATCTCAGTGAAATATTACCAGTGAACAGGTTTATCTTACTGGAGTATTTTCACTTCTCTGACAAAAACCGGCCTGACAGAAGTGACAGGTTATTACAAGATTTAGAATGTTTTTCTATCGTTATCTCAAACATAAGTTCAGGATATACTTTTATCCATTCAAGATCCTTGTAATTGACGAAGTCTTTGATTTTGTTCAAGGTTAGGACTCGTCAGTCATAGCAGTTACATTACGAGCAAGAGAACCGCTTTGCGTATGAAATTGTTTGTACTCTGTGATTGTGACAGTGGGCAGGTGTTGGATATTGTTGTAATACACGGGTAGTAAAACATTGAAAGATACCAAGATGTTATTGGGTATCTCAGGTGGACGTAGTGAGAAAACATGATGGCACTTATCTTTGTAAGGGCCAAACATTATATACCGATAACTGGTATCCACCAACGCCCATTACTCAGTTATTTCATGCGAATGTGAACAAGACAGATGCTGTGTGGGCACAGTGCGTTCTAATCGTAACATATGCCAGGCTAAAACGCGGAGTTCGTGGTGATGAACGTGCAGGTGTTTACTGCCAATGACCACATGGCATTACGGTGGCCATGACAAACGTGATGTCACATTTGTTGACAACCTTCACCGTAATGAAATGCAAGACAGTGGCAAAGTTGATTGAGTGGACTAATGAATGTTATTTCGAAAACCAGTGTCAGGATTGATTATACACAAAAACATGCGCTTGGTTGGACAGTGTGACTGCAGATTGGTTTTGTTGACTGTGTTCGTAAGAGTTACAAAGTGGTACATGAAACTTTTTTCCATCTCATGGACCATTTTTGAATGCTGGATGCATATATTATGTACCAAATATAGACTGGTAACAGACCACCGTCTATGGTGAATTATGTTTGTCTGTTGTCAGACAACTCATAATGAAGTACCTGGTAACAACACCTGCAATACAACATGAGTCTCGTATTCTTCAACAATATACCCAAGCGTTTGAGGAGAGAGGTGATCATTTCATAATACAACTTCCTTTAACTCAAAAGAAATTTGCTCAGAAGAGATGCATTGTCTGTGCACAAACAAAACGACGGCAACAAAGACGCAAAGACACCGGTTTATGTGTGAGGAATGTAAGGTGCCTCTGTGCATGGTGCCTTGTTTCAAGGAGTTCCACAAGCTCCAGCAGTTCTAAAACCATGTCCAGTGATTGTAAATATTTAAATATATGATAGAACATTAGTATTATACAATATTTGTGCATGTTTATTGTAATAAACAACAGTGGAAACAATAATAGATAATAACTTTAGTGCGGTTATTGTGTTCAATACAGTGAGTATATATATATCAATTATATACAGTATTGGTCTCTCAGGCCCCAAATGTTAGTAGGAATAGAAAAAAATTGGAAAAGAAAAGAAAAAACAACTAAAACAACAAAATAATATAATACGCGTATGTGGAATTCGTCGATGTTGCCGCCACCACATCATTTTCTATAAACTTCTTGGCACTGTATCTCGGTAAGTAATGATCAGATTCTAATTTTTTTTGTTTTATTACCTTCACAAAAATATGCTCTTTAATTCTGTAAGAAAAAATATTTTTTTTTTTTTTTTTCAAAATTTCTTGGACACTGGTGCGTGACTTCAGATTTTGGCCTTGGACCCTGAAAGGGTTAAAGAGGAAAATGTCATTCATTTGATCACTGTCCTGCTAGAAGTGTCCTAACATTCCAGTTTAGATTACCCTCTGAATTGCAACATCCTCACCCCTCCTCTAGAGTACAGGAATTGTATTTCTCCCCTCCAGGACTCAAATCCAGCTAACCAGTTTTTCCCTGAATCTCTTCACAAGTGTTTCCATGCTCATACTTCAACAGCATGTCAAGTTATTATAACATTATTGACACAACACCAACATGCTACAGTGAAACCTCGGCACTCAAACAGCTCCCTACTCAAACAGTTCGGCATTTGAATGCTTAGTTCAGTAAAAAAATTGCTCGGTAGTCAACCGTTTGCTCAGGACTCGACCAAAGAAACACAACCTGCCAGAACTTCTCTGTAAACTATTTCACATTTCTTTGCATTTTTTTTTGTATTATTTGTATAAATAAGTCACCATGGGGGCCTAAGAAGATTAGTGATAACAGCCAACCCCCCAAAAAAAAATTGGTTTGTAAAAATTTGTTCAATACTCAAACAGCCTTCAGGAATGAATTAAGTTCGAGTACTGAGGTTCCTCTGTACATATCTTGGTTCAGGGAGGGTTTTCTACGACTATTGCTGAAGAACTTTTAAGCATGACTTACTGCTATTAGTGGGCCATGCATCATCTCCAGCTGCTGCACCTCACTTCTGCTTCAGTATGTAAAGTCTGGGTTCGTGCCTTTCCTTTAACCCTTAAACTGTCCAAGCAGATCTACGTTCACATGTGTAGTGCTCCAAAAGTAGATCTATGTTTTTTTACATATTTTCAAATATAACAAAAAAAAAAAGTAGATAAAAGTTTTTTAACACGTTTTCAAATGTAAAAAAAAGAAAAGAAGATCTACTTTTTTTACATACTTTCAAATGTTGAAAAAACGTAGATTAATGTTTGGACAGTTGAAAGGTTAAGTTCAAGGGACTGATCACCTCAGAATAACTACTACTACTGTCTCAAGTGTTAATTTCACCCATATTTGACTGAAGAAGCCTGCTGTGCAGGCAGAACATTTCTAGAGCAAAGATATTCAAGTTTTGTATACATATGTGTTTTATTCATTGACTTGTTGGTATCATATACCATCAGTAATCTCAAATGCCTAACCTGCTTGATGCACACAACATCCACCACTAAACATCATTATTAACCTACAATTTTTTAACTAATCTCTGCAAAATAAATAAGACCCCATGGCATGTACATGAAATTATCATAAACTATGATGGAGAAAATGGAGAAAAAAAATTATTGCTGGAATTTGGCCAAATTGTAATTATTACAATATTTCTTAAATTTTGAACAGTCTCTACCAGAACACATACCTAAAATTGAGTTATAAAATATCAATGCATTTAGTAGAAAAATAAAATACAACATTCATTTATAAATCCTATAAGGTAATTGTTGGAGAGGGTGAAGCTCATAGGCAACGTCTAAACCTTTTGCTGGTGACTTCTTCCACAAAAAAAAGCAGAAATTAGTGGATGAAGATGTAGAAAATAAAGATTTGGCAGTGTTCTGTTTTTTGCTTTTAATTTTGAGAAATAGTATTATTGTATTTAGTTAATATTTTTATTATTATTATCATTATTGTCATTATCATTATCATCATATTAATGCTGAAATATCTTAGCATAATTGTAAAATGCTTAGTTTGATAAAGAAGTAATGGGTGTGCATAGTACAGTACAGTGGACCCCCGCATAACGATTACCTCCGAATGCGACCAATTATGTAAGTGTATTTATGTAAGTGAGTTTGTACGTGTATGTTTGGGGGTCTGAAATGGACTAATCTACTTCACAATATTTCTTATGGGAACAAATTCGGTCAGTACTGGCACCTGAACATACTTCTGGATTGAAAAAATATCGTTACCCGGGGGTCCACTGTATTGAATTTATTCTAGCATATAAATGTAATCTTTAAATTACTGTATAGTCCCTAAGAATCTATAATTAATATTTATGTACATAACTTATATTTCAGAACCACGTGGCAAGCATGCATGAGGGTGCCAAGCCTTATGCATGGTCAAGGGTGTGGGAAAAAAGGTTTTTTGCGTACCAACAGTCTCCGTAACCACTACGCATTCCCCATGGGGTTTTGTGATTGCTCTGTTTTAAATTTGTTCCTTAAATAGCCTCTTGTTTTCCCAGGGAATTTAAATGAAAATGAAAGGGTTTTTTAAAAATAACGTTGGAAAGCGGGTACAAATTTAATGATTTTGCAGAAAAAGGATACAAAAAATGAAATTTAAATTTGCGACCTTATTGGAAATTTTGTTTTGTCCACACGGGGGCGTTTTAAATAAAGTAAAGGACTTAGAGCTCACGGGAAAGGGGCAGGACTTGTCAACTAAGGATCTTATTATCCTAAAATTTTTTTCTAAATAATAATTTGGGATTTTTAATTTTTGAGTGCCGTTCTCTCAAGAAATTAAATTGCTCACCCACCAAAGCCATATTATAACTATATAAAAAAAAAATGCTAAAGTTTATATTGAAGAGGGGCCCAGTACATCATCACGGTCCAAAGGGTATTATACTTCTTACCGCTGCCCCCCAAAAACGTATATTTACTTTTTAAAATTTTCCTGCCTCCAATTTGGCATGTTTGGCCTAAAGATGCCTGACCCATATAAAAGGGGTTTTAAACACTCAGTGTCCCCACCTTTAAAAATAAAATCTGAGACCACCTTTTTAAAACCTTTTTGGGAGCACCATTAAAATTGAATGCCCTCGAGAAAAACATGGGAAAACCCCCGGGGATTCACTGATGTATGCCCCATATTAACTCTCCCCCCCTTTTAAAGAGGAAAGGGGATTTTTAAACCCCAAGTTTAGTTTTGGGTCTGTCCAGGTCTGTCTATCTGTCTCTATTTTCTTTTTATTTGTCTCAAAAAACAATTATACTTTCCTTCTTCTTCCTTTTTCCTCCTCATCCCCTTCTTTTTCTTCTATACTCCCATGTATCCAAAACAATGCGGGGAACCTAAAAATTTATTTTGAAATTTTTTCCTAGAAAATAAAAAAATGACCAGGGCAGTTTAAATGTCCACCTGTCAATGTTTTTTGTGAAAAATTTTGAGTACAATTTCAGTATTTAAATATTAGTGTCAAAAAAAAATTTGGGTTAAATGAAATGCCAAGAACTAAAATTTAAATTTTTCTTTATTGGGAACAAAATATAAAATGAAAAAAAATTGGTTTTTATGGGCAACACTTCCTCAAGAAGCAGGACTCGTTTGTTGCCCTCAGGTGACATTTTAAATGTTAGCTTTGCAGGGCCCCATTTCTCAGTAAGTACTGACCCTAATTTTTTTTTTTTTTTAATCCTATAACACAGAAAATTTTTCCTTTTTTTTTTCAGTGAAAAAAAAACAAAATTTTTTTTTCCAAAAAATTTTTTGGGGCACCGGGGGGAGCGTAAATTTTTACATTTTTGGAAACCCTTTTGGGGTTTTTAAAAACATAAAACTAACTCCTGAAATTTTATATTGTATTTCCCAAAAAAATTTGCGTGATAAAATTGGGTCTTTCCCCAACAAACAAATTTTCAAATTTAAAGAAAACATAGCTGTGGAATATGGGAAATTTTTTTTCTTTGTTGGCAAAATTTTTAAAAAAACCTTCAGATACAGTGGACCCCCCCGATTTCATCCAGTGTGGTTTTCGTACAATTTGGGAATTTCGAAAACCCCCTTTTTTGAGCGAAATTTAAAACCCCGGTTTTCATACCTCTACTTGGGAAAACGTCCTTTTCAGACTCGTCCCCCCACATGGGACACGGCCCGCTCACATTATGTTCTCAATTGCCTCTGACTGGCCGGGGAAAAGTACCCCCACCATTCATCCGAAACATTGGGGGTAGAGGGTGGTATAGAGGTGGTTGTGGGTTTTGGTGGTTGGGAGAAAGGGGGTCGTGGTTTTTTTATGGTGGGAGAGGGGGGTTGTGGGTTTGGGGGGGTGGTAAGGGGGGTTGTGGGTTTTGATGGTGGGTTTTTGGGGGGTGGTAGGATGATCGTAGGGGTGGTATTTATGGCAAACAATCAAAGATGTTGAGAAATTGTTGTTGGTGTGGTCAACGAAAAACAGTTAGTGGGGGACAGTGTTGTGGAGGGGATAAATTTTCGAAAAGGCCCGGCAGTTGCATGGGGGTCTCGTAAAGAATTTGCCAACAAAGGTAAAAAATGATTTTAAAAGTTCATTTATCCCTTTTTAAAAAAAGTGTTGGGGAAAGAATTAATTGGGTTTTCGTTTTTTTATGGGAAAAAAATTTACCCCGGTTTTTTTCCATTTTGGATGAAAAAATGGGATCCACGGGATATATTTTTTATCAAAAACCCTTTGGCCCATTTCAGAAAAGGCGGGGGACCCCAAAAAAAAAAAGAAAAAACTTTTTACTTTACTAACTTTATTTTACTGTCTTGCCCAAGACGTGCCAATTTCTTCAGTTTAAAAAAATACAATAAAAATCCCCCCCCTCCTTCGAGCCAGGCACTGTACTTAAATTCCCCCCCCAAACCCTACAGGGACTTTAATCGGGGTAACTGGGTTTTTCCCCGAATCCCTTCATAAATGTTACGTCAGAATTTTCTAAAAACCCGGTTTTTCCTATGTGTACTTTTGGGCCAAAAAAATTTAAATTTCAAAAGTGGTGTGGTTAGTTTCCATTTCCAAATACTCAAGTCCAGCTTTTATAAAATAACCCGGGTTTTCCCCCAAACCCTTCACTAAATTTTACCCTTTCTCACAAATCCAAAAGCTCGTTAAAATTTTCAAAAAATATTCACTCCCCTTCACTTTATCTAACAAAAATAAAATAAAAAAAAGTGAAGATGTTAAGTCAGTCAAAATGCCCAAGGGATAATAGAGGGTGTCTTTGCCTTACAACCCATTTTTTGTAAATACCCCTAGGGTTTAATGTACTATTTTCAAAGACTAAATAAAAAATAAAAAAGCAGGGGTTTCAATGGGGACAACAAGGGAAAACTGTACTACACGGGGTCCTAAAAACCAGGCGTGATGGTTTATGGGGGGCAGGGGGCCCCCTCCACACAACCCCTGGTTGACCAGGCAAGCACCAGACGAGCCGGGGCCCTGGCCGGGCTCAGAGAGTAGATAAACTCTCAAAACTCTTCAAAGGTATATCAAAGGTAACACGCTCACACACGCTTGCTGGAAGTCCAAGCCCCTCACCACACAACCTCATTTACCCCCCTCCCTCTAACCTATTCGAGGATGACCCCTACCCTGCCTTCCTTCCCCTACAGATTTATACACTCCATGTCATTCTACTTCGATCCATTTTTTCTAAATGACCAAACCACCTCAACAACACCTCTTCAGCCCTCTGACTAATACTTTTATTAACTTTACTCCTCCTAATTTCCACACTTTAAATTCTCTGCATAATATTTACACCACACATTGCCCTTAGACAGGACATCTCCATGCCCTCCAACCGCCTCCTCACTGCAGCATTCACAACCCAAGCTTCATACCCATATAAGAGTGTTGGTACCACTGTACTTTTATACATTCCCTTCTTTGCCTCCATAAATAACGTTTTTTTTTGTCTCCACATGTACCTCAACGCACCACTCACCTTTTTTCCTTCATCAATTCTCTGCTTAACCTCATACTTCATAAGCCCATCCGCTGACATGTAAACTCTCAAATATCTGAAAACATTCACTTCTTCCATACTCTCTCTCTCAAATATAATATCCAATTTTTCTTTATCTAAATCATTTGATACCCTCATCACCTTACTCTTATCTATGTTCACTTTCAACTTTCTTTTTTTACACACCCTCCCAAACTCATCCACTAACCTTTGCAGCTTTTATTTAGAATCTCCCATAAGCACAGTATCATCAGCAAAAAGCAACTGTGTCAACTCCCATTTTGTACTTGATTCCCCATAATTTAATCCCACCCCTCTCCCCAGCACCCTGGCATTTACTTCTTTCACAACCGCATCTATAAATATATTAAATAACCATGGTGACATTACACATCCCTACTTTTACCAGGAAGTAATCTCCCTCTTTGCTACACGCCCTAACCTGAGCCTCACTATCCTCATAAAAACTCTTTACAGTATTTAGTAACTTACCACCTATTGCAACATCTGCCACATTGCTCCCCTATCCACTCTATCATATGCCTTTTCTAAATCCATAAATGCAATAAAAACTTCCCTACCTTTATCTAAATACTGTTCACATATATGCTTCAATGCAAACACCTGATCTACACATCCCCTACCCACTCTGAAACCTCCTTGCTCATCCGCAATCCTACATTCTGTCTTATCTCTAATTCTTTCAATAATAACCCTACCGTACACTTTTCCTGGTATACTCAAAAAACTTATTCTCTATAATTTTTACAATCTCTCTTGTTCCCCTTCCCTTTATATAAAGGGACTTAAATGCCCCCTCCGCCAATCCCTAGGTACCTTCCCCCCTTTCATACATTTATTAAAACAAAAGTACCAACCACTCCAAAAACCCACATCCTCCCCCCCTGCTTTTAACATTTCTGTCATGATCCCATCAGTTCCAGCTGCTTTACCCCCTTTCATTCTATGTAATGCCTCACATACCTCCCCCACACTTACATTCTGCTCTTCTTCACTCCTATAAAAGATGGTATACCTCCCTGGCCAGTGCATGAAATTACCGCCTCCCTTTCTTCCTCAACATTTAAGAGTTCCTCAAAATATTCTCGCCATCTACCTAATACCTCCCTCTCCCCATCTACTAACTCCCCTACTCTGTTTTTAACTGACAAATCCATATGTTCCCTAGGCTTTCTTAGCTTGTTTAACTCACTCCAAAATTTTTTCTTATTTTCATTAAAATTTCTTGACAGTGCCTCTCCCACTCATCTTATAACACTTCTTCTTTGTAAAAACCTCTCATAAGCTACCTTTTTCTCTTTTATCACACTCTTTACTTCATCATTTCCCCCAATCACTCCTCTTTCCTCCTGCCCCCACCCTCCTATAACCACAAACTTCTGCCCACATTCTAATACGGGATTTTTAAAACTATTCCAACCCTCTTCAACCCCCCACTACTCATCTTTGCACTAGCCCCCTTTCTGAAAATTTCCTTAATCCACCCAAAATTCCCCCCCCTTAGTTTAACACTTTCATTTCCCCACCTACTTGCTGTTGCCCCCTTTCCTCTTGTCCCTTTTCCTCTTATTCTAATGTCAAAACTAAAGAATGCTATATATCAGTTCCCCCTCTTAAAATGACATCCGGGGCCCTACCCTTTAAACCTTTTATCCCCCAAATACAAATCTACAAATTACTTTCATTATTGCTACTATACCTTGTAATTTTATTTCCCTTTTTCATAAAATAGATACTTATTACCAAAATCTTTTTTCACACAAGCTCAATAAAGGCCCCCCTTTAAATTTACCCCTGGCCCCCAAATTTACCTACAAAATTTTTCCCCGCCCAAAAAACTTTTTTTACCCATTTTAGCTTTGAAACCCCCAACCATAAGTACTCTCAAAATTGGTTCAAACTCCCCCGCTTCACTCAACTTTCCCCCAAAAATTTCTCTCTTCCTTACACTTCTCTTTCTCCAGGTGCATATACACTTATTAAAACCCCTTTTTCACACCAACCTTTTTTTTATCCCACATAATCCTTAAAATTAATACATTTTTTGTCCTCTTTTCCGCCTATCTTACCCTTCAACTTATTGCTATTTTCCTTTAGCCAACCACTTGAAACCCCGACCTAATCCCATTTATCCTCTCCCCTGAACTCTCCCACCCCCCTTACTTTGTTTTACTTAAAGCCAGGGACATCCAGTTTCATTCATTACATCCCCAATCCTCTTCTTATAATTAGCACAACATCCATGCCATTCAGACTTCCACTTTCGACAATTTTTCTTCTTATTCTTTTTTAATCTTTACAGGAAAAAGGGGGTTTCTAGCCCATTTTTTCCCGGGATTTTTGTTGACTTTTTTCAACATGCATGGCTTACGGATGAAAGGTTCTTATTCCCCCTTTCCCCATGGGTATAAAAGGGAAAAATAATAGACCAAGAAATTAAGATAAAAACAAAGAAAACTCAGAAAGTGTTTATAAAAAACATGCATGTATGTGTAGTGTGACCTAAGTGTAAGTAGAAGACAAGCATACCGAACTTGCATATTATGAGACAAAAAAAAAAAAAAACGCAATCCTCCATCATGTAAAAAAATTACGGGTTTTTTTTTTACATTCCTTGCAGGAGGGTAGTACCCCCCTGGGTGGTTGCTGTCTCCCAAACCCTCTACGTACGTAGTTAAATAACAGGGGCCCCCCGCATAACGATCACCTCCGAACCCCAAATTTATGAAAGTGTTTTTATGTAAGTGCTTTTGTACGTTATTTTTTGGGGGTCTAAAATAGACTAATCTACTTCACAATATTCCTTATGGAAAAAATTCGTCATACTGGCACCTGAACATATTCTGGAGAGAAAAAAATCGTTAACCGGGGTCCCTGATAATATATATATACAGGCCCCCGGGGTTAACAAAATTTTTTTCTTTTCCTAAGAGTTCGGGTGCCATACTGACCAAATTTTATTTCCATAAGGAATAGTGAAGTAATTATTCCTTTCAGCCCCCCAAACAACACGTACAAACCACTTCTAAAACACTTACAAAAATTTGGTCGCAATCGAGGTAATCGTTATGGGGGGGTCCAGTTTATATATTAATACGCTGAAAACAGGGGAATCTTGCTACTCCCTTTAAATTTGGTCACACTTCACAGAATGCACATGCAAAATTTAAACTACTCTAGGGGTTTTTTTTCCCTTTTTTTTAAATAGCTCTTGTTCTTCTTTTTTCTTCTATTGACCATGGGGGGAAATGGAAAAGAATCTTTCCTCCAGAAGCCCGCATGTTATAGGCGACTAAAATGCCGGGGGGGAATGGGGTAGTAACCCCTTCCCTGTAACATTTACTAAAAAAAAGAAGAAGAAAAACTTTAAAAAACTGGGGGCTTGAATGTGCGTGGATGTTGTGGGATGACAAAACAGATGATTTCGATGTTTGAATGAAAAAGCTGGATGTCCTGGCCCCAAACGAAACAAAGCTGAAGGGGGTAGGGGGGTTTTGGGGGGGGGAAATAAAAGGGGTTAAATCTGGGGTATCTGAAGGTTGAGCAAAAGGGAAAGGGGCAGTACGTTGAAAGGGTTTAGTTATGGAAGGAGAAAAGAGAATAGAAAGTGAAATTCAAGAATATGTGGGTTAAAGTAAAAGGGTTTGGGTGCGAAAGTGGGTCTAATAACGTTTTCACTGGGAAGAGAGGAATGTAGAGGGAAAAGAAAATTTTGGGAGATGTTAAGTGAATGTATGGAGCCTTTAACCCAAATGAGAGAGTAATTGTGGGAGGGGGCCTGAATGCAAATAGGAGAAATTTTTTGAGAGGGGGTGGTAGGTAGTTTGGGGTGCCAGGGGTAAAAGGTAATGGGAGCCCTTTTATTGAACTTGTATAAAAGGGTTTAGTTAAGTAATACATATTTTAAGAAAAAGGGATAAATAAGCTTTTGCAAGATTAGAGGCGAAATGACAGTAGTTTTTTGGATTATGTTTTGGTGATAAAAGACTTTTGAGTAATTTCAGGATGTAATTTTAAGAGGTGCCACAGATTATCAATCACTTTCAGTTGTGCTACACTGAGAGTAAAAGGTAGATGGGTACAAGGAGAATGGAAGCATCAGGAAAGAGAGGGGTGAAGGTTTATAAACTAAAAGAGGAGGCAGTTGGGGAAAATTAAAACACTATTGGAGGATAGATGGCTAATGGAGATAGGGAATGGGGCGGAAGAGGTATGGGGTAGGTTTAAAAATGAAAGTTTGAGTGGTTCAGCAGAAGTTTGTGGTTACAGGAAAGTGGGGGTGTCGGAGGGAAGAGGAGGCGATTGTGGAATGAGGATGTATAGAGAGTAGTAAGGAGAAAAAGTTAGCATATGATAAGTTTTTACAAAGTAGAAGTGATGGCAGGGAGGGAAAAGGAGTATATGGAGAAAATAAGAGAGGTTAAGAGAGTGGTGAGCAATGTAAAAAGAGAGCAAATGAAGAGAGTGGGTGGAGATGTTTATCAATAAATTTTGTTGGAAATAAGAAAAAGTTTTTGGAGTGAGATTAACAAGTTAAGGAGCTTAGAGAACAAATGGATTTTGTCATTAAAAATAGTAAGAGGAGCAGTTATTCAGAATGGAGAGTTAGAAAAGGTTTTTATTGGGGAAGATGGCGGGAATATTTTGAGGAATTATTAATGTTGATGAAGATAGGAAGGCGTGTGATTTCCGAGTAAGTGGCAAGGAAAATAACATCTTGTAGGAGTGAGGAAGAGCCAGTTGTGAGTGTGGGGAAGTTCGGGAAAAGCAGTAGGTAAAAAAATGAAAGGGGGTAAGGGCAGCTGTGATTGTGATGGGATAAAGATTATAAAATGTTATAAGCAGGTGGAGATATAGTTTTGGAATGGTTGGTGCAATTATTAATAAATGTATGGATGAGGGTAAGGTACCTAGGATTGCAGAGAGCATGAATAGTTCCCTTTCCAAAAGGCAAAGGGGACAAAAGAGAGTGCAAATGATAGGGGATAAATCTGTTGAGTATGCCTGGTAAAGTGTATGGTATTGAGTTATTATTGAAGAATTAAGAGTAAAGACGAGAATAGGATAGCGAGATGAACTAGGAGGCTTTAGAAATGTGGGGGGTGCATTGAACCAGGTGTTTTACAGTGAAACATATAAGTGAACATATTTAGATAAGGCTAAAGAGGTCTTTGTGGCATATCTGATTTGAAAAGGCATTTGACAGGTGATAGGGGGGCAATGTGGCAGATGTTGCAGTGTATGGTATAGGAGGTAGGTTACTGAAAGGCATGAATAGTTTTTTTATACGATGGTTATGAGGCTCAGGTTAGAGTATGTAGGAAAGAGGTAAATTATTTCCCAGTAAAAGTAGGCCTATGACAAGGAGTGTGATGTCACCGTGGTTGTTTTAATATATTTATAATGGGGTTGTAAGAGAAGTAAATGCGATGGTCTAGCAAGGAGGCGTGGAGTTAAAAGATAAAGAATCGCACATAAAGTGGGAGTTTGTCACAGTTGCTCCTTTGCTGATGACACTGAGTGCTCTTGGAGATTCTGAAGAGAAGTTGTCCGGAAGATTGGTGGATGAATTTGTAGGTATGCAAAGGAAGAAAATAAAAGTGAATACAAGGAAAGAGTAAGGTTATGAGGATAACAAAAAGATTAGGTGATGAAAGATGGATATCAGATTGGAGGGAGAGAGTATGGAGGAGGTGAATGTATTCAGATATTTGGGACGTGGGACGTGTCAGCAGATGGGTCAGTAAGATGAGGTGAAATCATAGAATTGATGAGGGAAAAAAGGGTGAGTGTGCACTTAGGTCTGTGGAGACAAAGAACTTTGTCCTTGGAGGCAAAGAGGGGAATGTATGAGAGTATAGTTTTAGACCAACGCTCTTATATGGGTGTGAAGCATGGGTGATGAATGTTGGCAGCGAGGAAAGGCTGGAGGCAGTGGAATGGTCATGTCTGAGGCAATGTGTGGTGTGAATATAATGTCAGAGAAATTCGTAAGTTTGGAATTTAGGATAGGTGGAAGATTACCAAAACTGTTTGTCCAGTAGGGCTGAGGAAGGATTGTTGAGGTGGATCGGACATGTAGCAGAGAATGGAGCAAAACAGAATGACTTCAAGAGTGTATCTCTGTAGTAAAGGAAGGCAGGGTAGGGGTTGGCCCTAGGAAAGGTGAGGGAGGGGGTAAATGGAGGTTTTGGTGCGAGGGGCTTGGACTTCAGCAGGCATGCGTGAGCGAGTTTGACAGGAGAGAATGGAACAAATGGTTTTTAATACTTACGTGCTGTTGGAGTGTGTGCAAAGTAACATTATGAAGGGGTTCAGGGAAAGCCGGCATGGCCGTGGAGAACTTGAGTCCCGGTGGAGCTGGGAAGTACAGTGCCTGCACTCTGAAGGAGGGGTGTTAATGTTGCAGTTTTAAAAACTGTATGTAAAGCACCCTTTTGGCAAACCAGTGAATGGAGTGAATGATGGTGAAAGTTTTTTCTTTTTCGCCACCCTGCCATTGGTGGGAATTGGCCAGTGGTGATAATAATAAAATAATAATAATAGATAAAAAAAAATATATATAATATATATTACCTGGAGTTTTACCTGGAAGAGTTCCGGGGGGTCAACGACCCCGCGCCTTCAGTCTGTGACCAGGCCTCCTGGTGGATCAGAGCTGGATCAACAGGCTGTTGCTGCTGGCTGCACGCAAAACGGCAACCTACGAGCCACAGCTGGCCTGGTCAGGAACCGACTTATAGTGCTTGTCCAGTGCCAGCTTGAAGACTGACTGCCAGGGGTCTGATGGTAATCCCCTTATTATGCTGGGAGCAGTGAACAGTCTCGGCCACGCACGGCACGCACGACACGCACGCATGCGCACACGCACACACACACGTCACGCATGCGCACCGTTAATAGGTGGGCGCTCGCGTGCCAACACACACACCCACACACCCACACACACACACACACACACACACAGCTACACACCACACACTCACCACACACACAACACACAACACACACACATCACAACACACACACACACACACACCCCTGCCTACCTACCTCTGGGTTTTCTTCTATTTTCTTGTTAGTTCTTGTTCTTTTTTATTTCCTCTTATCTCCATGGGGAAATTGAACAGAATTCTTCCTCCATGAGCCATGTGTGTCGTAAGAGGTGACTGAATTGCCTGGAGCAAGAAGCTAGTAACCCCATCTCCTGTATAAATTACTAATTTTACAAAGAGAAACTCTCATTTTACTTTTTGGGCCACCCTGCCTCGGTGGGATATGGCCGGTTTGTTGAAAGAAGTAAGGTTTGTTGTTGAAAAAGTATAATTGAAAACTGTTGTATTAGTGAAGCACCATAAAGCAAAGTGCTGTTAAGTAGATCCCACCTGTATTTATAAGAAAAGGTTAAAACAGCATAGTTTAGCTATAAATTTCTTTCTTCTTCTTTCAACAAATCAGCCATTTCCCACCGAGGCAGGGTAGCCCAAAAAGGAAAACAAAAGTTTCTCTTTTTAACTTTAGTAATGTATGCAGGAGAAGGGGTTACTAGCCCCTTGCTCCCGCTGGAGGGGGGGGGGGGGGGGGGGGGGGGGGGGGGGGTCGACTCAAAGTTATGTCACCCTTGGGGGTCTATAAAGATTACAATGTTGAATTACAAATTGGTTGTGTGTGGTTTACCAGGTAGTAAATAATGATTACAGAGTGTAACCGACTAGAACGCCAAGCATGCTAGGCCATTTCGGGCAGACTAGTTTAATTCATTTATTTTAAATATCTCCAAATTATGAGGTAGTTGTATTATGTGCTAAGTGACTAAATACTAGTTTGTGAGTTTAGCAATGTGAATGCTTTGTTTGGCATCAGTACAATAGTTTCAGTATTGGATATTCATAATTCATTATTTTAGATTGAGATTAATATTTCTGTTTATGGTCAAATGGGTGAGTGAGTGTAAGTGTGAAACACCAGGTGTATTCGTGTTAGTTAGTTGATGGGTGTATCAGGGAGATTAAGAATGTTTACTATGGTATTTTGAAGGTGATGAATGTGTCTGCGTTCTGAGTCTCGGGTAGGTGTTCCAGATTTTAGGGCTTTGACATACATTGAATTTTGTAAAGTTTAGTCGGATACCAGGATCGGGGAATGTCGTAGAGATGTTTGTGCTGTGTTGTGCCTGTGGGTTCTGTCACAACTATCAAAAAGTGTTTTGGTCAAGGTTGATATTGGAGTTTTAAGGTCCTGTAGATGTAGATTGCACAGTAAGTAAGTGTGGATGTACTGAATAGGGAGTAAAGTTTAGATCTATGAAGAGTGGGGGGTGTGTTGCCAGGGATGGGATTTAGTGATTATTCTTACTGCAGCTTTTTGTTGGGTTATTATTGGCTTTAGGTGGTGTTGCTGCAGTGATCCCCAAGCACAAATAGCATAGTGAGGTATGGAATAAATAAGTGATGGTATAGTGTGAAAGGGCATTTTGGCGGCACGTAGTATCAGTACTTGGAGAGTATCCCGAAGCTGTTTGATACTTTTTTTGTCTTATTGTTGGATAAGGTGCTGAAATTCAGGTTGTTGTCAGGTATAGGCCAAGAATTTGCCTCATATTCTGGTAATTAGGAGTGTTGTCCGATCTTAATGTTAATTTGTGGCATTCTCTCATAATGCTGCTCTGCTACCAAACATTAATATAGTAGGTTTTGTCAGTGTTAAGGCGTAAGTTTATGGCTGTCAATCCAAGTCGATATTTTGATCACTCCTCGTTAACAATGTGGTTGAGGGTGGCAAGATTTGGGTGATAGATGACATAAGTCAGTCTTCAGCAAAGAGAATAGGGTTTTTTTGGTTTTCAGTGTGGGATACCTTTGGGAAGATCATTGATTATATGAGGAAATCAGGGGGACCAAGGACACTTCCCTGCGAACTCATCCATTAACCCTCAAGTGGCCTGTTGTTGATGCTGTGTCATTAATGGTAACATACTGAAACCTATTAGTAAGGTAAGATTTGAAATAAGCAAGCGCATGGCCTCTTATACCGTATTGGTCAAGGTTTGGGAGTAGGATGTCTGTCTACTGAGTGTCAAAAGCTTTCCTTAGGTCAATACAAATTCTAAGTGGATATTCCCTTTTTTCCAATGCTGTGTAAAGTGCAGATCTAGCATTTTATGATTGCATCATTAGTGTATTTATTTTCCTAAATCCAAATTGGCAGGGGTTGAGTATTTTTGTGCTGTTATTAAATGAATATAGTCCTCCTGTGCATGAGTTTCTCAAAGATTTTGATATACAATGGTAAGTGTGATATTGGCCGATAGTTGTTTAAGTCTGTAGGGTCACCACCTTTATGTATTGGTGTAACCTCTAGCCATTTGAGTAGTTTCGGGAAGTGCTATTTCTAGTGACTTGTTAAGAAAGTAATGAAATAGCATGCGAAAGATATGGGCCCTCTCGCTTGTACAGTAATGGTGGGACTTCGACAGATTCCCTGAGTTGGTTTTTAAGTGACTTCATGAATCTCAGTGACTTCCGAGGGCTCAGTTGGTGCAAGATAGGAAGAATTTGGGAATTCCCATCTAGGTAGTCCCCGGCATGGGCATTGGTATGTGGATTTACTGCGAGATTTAGATCCTATGGTTGAGAAGAAGTCGTTTACTGTTTAGCTGTGTCAGTGGGATGTAGTGGTGTTTCATTTAGGTTTAGTTAGGACAATATCTGGTTTTTTCAGTTGTGGGTCCCTAGAAATCTGAGAGAGTGTTTTTCCAGGGTCTTTTTTATATCTCCACTAGTGTCTGTGAATCTACTGAGTAGTAAGTTGTTTGGCTTTCTTTATTACTTTGGTGAGACTGATGAATAGTGTTTAAGAATATCTTTGTGTATTAGGCCCTGTCTAATTGGCTTTTTCATATTGTTGTTTTCTTGCCAATTGGATTTCAGAATGGTGCTGGTTACCATGGGCAACCAAGCCTTTTGTTTGTGTATCCTGTTTCGTTTTTAATAGGATCAATGTTTTGTTGTATAGTCTAAGTAATTTGTTAAAAAAATGTCTGGTCCAGTCATCAATACCATTGGCCTTGGAGAATTCTGTAGGCCAGTCAACAATCTCTAGGTCAGCTGTGAACTTCCTTATTGAGGCCTCGTCATGGAGTCTAAATGAGACTTGTTGTATTCAAGTGGTGTTTATTAATGTTTGTCAGGAGGAAGGTATGGTAGTGTCTGTAGTCTATCTGTGATTATTCCCTGATTAAGGGTGCTAGTATATTGGTCCATATGTGGTCTATTAGGTTGCACTTGCCTCTCAGTGAGGCCGTTGGTTTATTATTGTTGGTATGGAGAATGGGGGGGGGGGGGGGGGGGGGGGGGGGGGGGGGGGGGGGGGGGGGGGGGGGGGGGGGGGGGGGGGGGGGGGGGGGGGGGGGGGGGGGGGGGGGGGGGGGGGGGGGGGGGGGGGGGGGGGGGGGGGGGGGGGGGGGGGGGGGGGGGTGTTGGTTTCATATTGGTGATGAAATCAGATTACAGGCTATCAATCCTAGTAAGGCAAGGTTGATGTTGAAGTCTACACTAAGAGAAGGTGGTGCTTATTCATTTGTCTGTTTGTTATTAGTGACTTTAAATTTCTCACATGAAATTTGGATTTTGTGTGAGGTCTCCCGGTAAATGGCACCAATTGTTATAGGTGTCTTAAGGATTTTATACAGTAAAATTAGCAAAAATGTATTCCCCATATTCATCACTAAAGCAAGTGGTGCTAATTACAAGATAATTGTTAAGAGTAATAGATTGCAATACTACCCCAAACTTGGTTGGTCTGGCAGTTGTGAATTGATGTGTAATCCTGGTAGAGGGAATATCATTGTGTCCTGCTTAAGCCAGGTCTCAGTAAGAATAATGCAGGAGAAGGGTGTCTTTAGTGATTCAAGGAGTGCCAGGAGTGTTTGCTTAAGGACCTGATGTTGTAGTTAAGTACTGATAGACTTTTAGCATTGTTTAGGATAGTGCTGGGTTGTGATGCTGTGTAATAAAGGCAGTTATTTTCCAATAGGTTTTGATTGGGTGTCAGATTATGGAGGTTTAGATTAGGGTCAACGTGATCAATCATCTTCTAGGTTTAAATTATGGTTATTTATATCCTGAGATAGGTAGTAGGTTGGTAGACAGCAACCACCCAGGGAAGTACTACCGTCCTGCCAGATGACTGTGAAACAAAAACCTGTAACTGTTTTGCATGATGGTAGGATTGCTGGTTTCTTTTTCTGTCTCATAAACACGCTAGATAACAGGGATATCTTGCTACTCCTACTTACACTTTGGTCACACTTCACAGACACGCACATGCATATATATATATATACATACATCTAGGTTTTTCCTCCTTTTCTAAATAGCTCTTGTTCTTTTTTTTATTCTTTCATATTGTCCATGGGGAAGTGGAAAGAATCTTTCCTCTGTAAGGCCATGCGTGTCGTATGAGGCGACTAAAATGCCGAGGCATTGCTAGTAACCCTTCTCCTGTATACATTTACAAAAAAAGAGAAGAAGAAAAACTTTATAAAACCTGATGCTTAAATGTGCGTGGATGTAGTGCGGATGAACAAGAAACAATGATTGCTGATTTATGATGATAAAGAATTTGGATGTCCTGGCTCTAAGCGAAACAAAGCTGAAGGTGGTAGGAGAGGAGTTTCAGTGGGGGGAAATAATGGATTAAATCTGGAGTATGCTGAGAGAGTTAAGCAAAGGAAGGGGTATGGCAGTAATGTTAATATCGTTAGAAGGAGAAAAAGAGAATATGAATGTGTAAATTCAAGAATTATGTGGATTAAAGTAAGGTTGGAGGGCGAGAATGGGTCATAAAAAGCGTGTATGCACCTGGAGAAGAGAGAATGCAGAGGAGAGAGAGAGATTTCTGGAGATTGTTAAGTGATGTATAGGAGTCCCTTTGGAACCAAGTGAGAGAGTAATTGTGGTAGGGCCTGAATGCTAAAGTAGGAGAAACTTTTAGAGAGGGTTGGTAGGGGTAAGTTTGGGGTGCCAGGTGTAAATGATAATGGGAGCCCTTTGATTGACACTTTGTATAAAAGGGGTTTAGTTATAGGTAAACAATTTTAGAAAAGAGTATAAATAATATACACATAATGATGTAGGGCGTAATGACAGTAGTTTGTTGGATTATGTATTGTAGATAAAAGACTGTTGAGTAGACTTCAGGATGTACATGTTTAAGAGGGGCCACAGATTATATCAGATCACTTTCTCGTTGTAGCTACACTGAGAGTAAACAGGTAAGATGGATACAAGGAGAATATGAAGCCATCAGGCAAGAGAGAGATGAAGGTTTATAAACTAAAAGACAGGAGGCGTTAGGGTAAAGATATAAAACAGGCTATTGGAGGATAGATGGGCTAATGAGAGCATAGGCAATGGGGTCGAAGAGGTATGGGGTAAGGTTTAAAAAGTAGTGTTAGAGTGTTCAGCAGAAGTTTGTGTTACAGGAAAGTGGTTGCAGGAGGGACAAGGCAGGAGCGATTGGTGGAATGATGATGTAAAGAGAGTAGTAAGGAGAAAAAGTAGCATATGAGACGGTTTGTTACAAAGTAGAAGTGAATGCAAGGAGGGAAGAGTATATGGAGAAAAAGAGAGAGGTAAAGAGAGTGGTGAAGCAATGTAAAAAGAGAGCAAATGAGAGAGTGGTGAAGATGTATAACAAATTTTGTTGAAAAAAGAAAAAGTTTGTGGAAGTGAGATAAGTAACAAGTTAAGAAGCTAGAGAACAAATGGATTTGTCAAGTTAAATAATAGGAAAGAGTTATTAAATGGAGAGTTAAGTATTGGAAAATGAGGGAATTTTTGAGGAATTGTTAAATGTTGATGAAGATAGGGAAGCTGTGATTCGTGTATAGGGCAAGGAGGAATAACATATCTTGTAAGGAGGAAGAGCCAGTTGTAGTAGGGGGAAGTTCGAGAGGCAGTAGGTAAAATGAAAGGGGGTAAGGCAGCCGGGATTGATGGGATAAATATAGAAATGTTAAAACAGGTGGGGATATAGTTTTTGAGTGGTTGGTGCAATTAATTTAATAAATGTATGGAAGAGGGTAGGGACCTAGTGATTGCAGAGAAGCATGCATAGTTCCTTTGTATAAAGGCAAAGGGGATTAAAGATAGTGCAAAAATTATTGGGGATAAGTCTGTTGAGTGTACCTGGTAAAGTGTATGGTAGAGTTATAATTGAAAGAATTAAGAGTAAGACGGAGAATAGGATAGCAAATGAACAAGGAGGCTTTAGGAAAGGTAGGGGTGTGTGGACCAGGTGTTTACAGTGAAACATATAAGTGAACAGTATTTAGATAAGGCTAAAGAGGTCTTTGTGGCATTTGTGGATTTGGAAAAGGCGTATGACAGGGTGGATAGGGGGGCAATGTGGCAGATGTTGCAAGTGTATGGTGTAGGAGGTAGGTTACTGAAAGCAGTGAAGAGTTTTTACGAGGATAGTGAGGCTCAAGTTAGAGTATGTAGGAAAGAGGGAAATTTTTTCCCAGTAAAAGTAGGCCTTAGACAAGGATGTGTGATGTCACCGTGGTTGTTTAATATATTTATAGATGGGGTTGTAAGAGAAGTAAATGCGAGGGTCATGGCAAGAGGCGTGGAGTTAAAAGATAAAGAATCACACACAAAGTGGGAGTTGTCACAGCTGCTCTTTGCTGATGACACTGTGCTTTTGGGAGATTCTGAAGAGAAGCTGCAGAGATTGGTGGATGAATTTGGTAGGGTGTGCAAAAGAAGAAAATTAAAGGTGAATACAGGAAAGAGTAAGGTTATGAGGATAACAAAAAGATTAAGGTGATGAAAGATTGAATATCAGATTGGAGGGAGAGAGTATGGAGGAGGTGAACGTATTCAGATATTTGGGAGTGGACGTGTCAGCGGATGGGTCTATGAAAGATGAGGTGAATCATAGAATTGATGAGGGAAAAAGAGTGAGTGGTGCACTTAGGAGTCTGTGGAGACAAAGAACTTTGTCCTTAGAGGCAAAGAGGGGAATGTTTTGAGAGTATAGTTTTACCAACGCTCTTATATGGGTGTGAAGCGTGGGTGATGAATGTTGCAGCGAGGAGAAGGCTGGAGGCAGTGGAGATGTCATGTCTGAGGGCAATGTGTGGTGTGAATATAATGCAGAGAATTCGTAGTTTGGAAGTTAGGAGGAGGTGCGGGATTACCAAAACTGTTATCCAGAGGGCTGAGGAAGGGTTGTTGAGGTGGTTCGGACATGTAGAGAGAATGGAGCGAAACAGAATGACTTCAAGAGTGTATCAGTCTGTAGTGGAAGGAAGGCGGGGTAGGGGTAGGCCTAGGAAGGGTTGGAGGAGGGGGTAAAGGAGTTTTTGTGTGGAGGGGCTTGGACTTCCAGCAGGGATGCGTGAGCGTGTTTGATAGGAGTGAATGGAGACAAATGGTTTTTAATACTTGACGTGCTGTTGGAGTGTGAGCAAAGTAACATTTATGAAGGGATTCAGGGAAACCGGCAGGCCGGACTTGAGTCCTGGAGATGGGAAGTACAGTGCCTGCACTCTGAAGGAGGGGTGTTAATGTTGCAGTTTAAAAACTGTAGTGTAAAGCACCCTTCTGGCAAGACAGTGATGGAGTGAATGATGGTGAAAGTTTTTCTTTTTCGGGCCACCCTGCCTTGGTGGGAATCGGCCAGTGTGATAATAAAAAAAAAAAAAAAATTATATCCTGAGTTATGTGTTGAGTTCTAGTACTGATATCTGTAGTGGTGAAGTTGATGTTGTCTATGTACAACTAGATTTAATCTAATAATATAAAAATACAAATTAAAAATAGCACCAGTCTCTCACTAGTAATTGCACTATGGTCTAATATAATGAATTTGGTATTGACTATAGTACAACTGAGTTTAATCTAATAATATAAAAAAGGCACAAGACTCTCAATTGTAATTGCACTAAGGTCTTATATAAGTTGTTTACAAGAATTTGAGTACATGTATAACTAGATTTAAATTGACAGGATAAAATACACAAGTTAAGGTAGCAAAAGAATAATAAAAAAAAAATGATAAAAATAAAAATAGCAATGACTTGGTTATAATATGCTAGTAAGATGGTAGACAGGATAGTATAAAAGTTGTAGTTGAAAATACTCTTACGACATACATGGCTTACGGAGGAAGAATTCTGTTCCACTTCCCCATGGAGATAAGAGGAAATAAGAACAAGAATTAGTAAACAAATAGAAGAAAACCCAGAGGGGTGTGTGTGTATATATATGTTTGTACATGTATGTGTAGTGTGACTTAAGTGTAAGTAGAAGAAGCAAGATGTACCTGAAATCTTGCATGTTTATGAGACAGAAAAAAGACACCAGCAATCCTTCCATCATGTAAAACAATAACAGGCTTTTGTTTTACACTCACTTGGCAGGATGGTAGTACCTCCCTGGTCAGTTGCTGTCTACCAACCTACTATCTAGACAAAGTTGTGGAAAGGAATGTTTGAGCATTCTGTTTCAGTATTTATTTTTTCTTTTCTTTTTTTATTAATTTTCAATGTAAATTTTGAAATTATTTTTATTTCAGCCTCCTAAAGAAGAGAGAGAATATCCTTGTCCAACCTGTGGAAAAGTATTTACTCATCCAAGTTCCCTCATCTATCATCGTGATTCTACCCACAATAATGGACGCATGTTTGTCTGTCACTTGTGTGGGTCTGCATTCAAGCATAAACAACTTCTTCAGAGACATTACAGTGTTCATTCTGAAGACAGGTAAGTTAATGAAAAGAGTAAATTGATATTATTATTATATTATTATATTTTTATATTAACACGCTGGCCGATTCCCACCAAGGCAGGGTGGCCCGAAAAAGAAAAACTTCCACCATCATTCACTCCATCACTGTCTTGCCAGAAGGGTGTTTTACACTAAAAATTTTAAACTGCAACATTAACACCCCTCCTTCAGAGTGCAGGCACTGTACTTCCCATCTCCAGGACTCAAGTCCGGCCTGCCGGTTTCCCTGAACCCCTTCATAAATGTTACTTTGCTCACACTCCAACAGCATGTCAAGTATTAACAACCATTTGTCTCCATTCACTCCTATCAAACACGCTCACGCATGCCAGCTGGAAGTCCAAGCCCCTCGCACACAAAACCTCCTTTACCCCCTCCCTCCAACCTTTCCTAGGCCAACCCCTACCCTGCCTTCCTTCCACTACAGACTGATACACTCTTGAAGTCATTCTGTTTTGCTCCATTCTCTCTACATGTCCGAACCACCTCAACAACCCTTCCTCAGCCCTCTGGACAGCAGTTTTGGCAATCCCGCACCTTCTCCTAACTTCCAGACTATGAATTCTCTGCATTACATTCACACCACACATTGCCCTCAGCCATGACATCTCCACTGCCTCCAGCCTTCTCCTCGCTGCAACATTCATCACCCATGCTTCACACCCATATAAGAGCGTTGGTAAAACTATACTCTCATACATTCCCCTCTTTGCCTCCAAGGACAAAGTTCTTTGTCTCCACAGACTCCTAAGTGCACCACTCACCCTTTTCCCCTCATCAATTCTATGATTCACCTCATCTTTCATAGATCCATCCGCTGACACGTCCACTCCCAAATATCTGAATACATTCACCTCCTCCATACTCTCTCCCTCCAATCTGATATCCAATCTTTCATCACCTAATCTTTTTGTTATCCTCATAACCTTACTCTTTCCTGTATTCACTTTTAATTTTCTTCTTTTGCATACCCTACCAAATTCATCCACCAACCTCTGCAACTTCTCTTCAGAATCTTCCAAGAGCACAGTGTCATCAGCAAAGAGCAACTGTGACAACTCCCTCTTTATGTGTGATTCTTTATCTTTTAACTCCACGCCTCTTGCAAGACCCTCGCATTTACTTCTCTTACAACCCATCTATAAATATCTTAAACAACCATGGTGACATCACACATCCTTGTCTAAGGTCTACTTTTACTGGGAAATAATCTCCCTCTTTCCTACATACTCTAACTTGAGCCTCACTATCCTCGTAAAAACTCTTCACTGTTTTCAGTAACCTACCTCCTATACCATATACCTTCAACATCTGCCACATTGAACCCCTATCCACCCTGTCATACGCCTTTTCCAAATCCATAAATGCCACAAAAACCTCTTTAGCCTTATCTAAATACTGTTCACTTATATGTTTCACTGTAAACACCTGGTCCACACACCCCCTACCTTTCCTAAAGCCTCCTTGTTCATTTGCTATCCTATTCTCCGTCTTACTCTTAATTCTTTCAATAATAACTCTACCATACACTTTACCAGGTATACTCAACAGACTTTTTTTTTTTTTTTCAACAAGTCGGCTGTCTCCCACCGAGGCAGGGTGACCCAAAAAAGAAAGAAAATCTCCAGAAAGAAAATACTTTCATCATCATTCAACACACTCACCTCAGTCACACATAATCACTGTTTTTACAGAGGTGCTCAGAACTCAACAGTTTAGAAGCATATACGTATAAAGATACACAACATATCCCTCCAAACTGCTAATATCCCGAAACCCCTCCTTTAGAGTGCAGGCATTGTACTTCCCATTTCCAGGACTCAAGTCCCTGAATCCCTTCACTAAATATTACCCTGCTCACACTCCAACAGCTCGTCAGGTCCCAAATACCATTCGTCTCCATTCACTCCTATCGAACACGCTCATGCACGCCTGCTGAAAGTCCAAGCCCCTCGCCCATAAAACCTCCCTTACCCCTTCCTTCCAACCTTTTCGAGGACGACCCCTACCCTGTCTTCCTTCTCCTACCGATTTAAATGCTCTCCATGTCATTTTACTTTGATCCATTCTCTCTAAATGACCAAACCACCTTAACAACCCCTCTTCAGCCCTCTGACTAATACTTTTATTAACTCCACATCTTCTCCTAATTTCCACACTCCGAATTTTCTGCATAATATTTACACCACACATTGCCCTTAGACAGGACAACTCCACTGCCTCCAATCGTCTCCTCGCTGCTGCATTCACAACCCAAGCTTCACACCCATATAAGAGTGTTGGTACTACTATACTTTCATACATTCCCTTCTTTGCGTCCATAGATAACGTTTTTTTGACTCCACAAATACCTCAATGCACCACTCACCTTTTTTCCCTCATCAATTCTGTGATTAACCTCATCCTTCATAAATCCATCTGCCGACATGTCAACTCCCAAGTATCTGAAAACATTCACTTCTTCCATACTCCTCCTTCCCAATTTGTTATCCAATTTTTCTTTATCTAAATCATTTGATACCCTCATCACCTTACTCTTTTCTATGTTCACTTTCAACTTTCTACCTTTACACACACTCCCAAACTCATCCACTAACCTTTGCAATTTTTCTTTAGAATCTCCCATAAGCACAGTATCATCAGCAAAAACTAACTGTGTCAAATTCCATTTTGTATTTGATTCCCCGGAATTTAATCCCACCCCTCTCCCGAACACCCTAGCCTTTACTTCTTTTACAACCCCATCTATAAATATATTAAACAACCATGGTGACATTACACATCCCTGTCTAAGACCTACTTTTACTGGGAAGTAGTCTCCCTCTCTTCTACACACCCTAACCTGAGCCTCACTATCCTCATAAAAACTCTTTTCAGCATTTAATAACTTACCACCTATTCCATATACTTGCAACATCTGCCACATTGCTCCCCTATCCACTCTATCATATGCCTTTTCTAAATCCATAAATGCAATAAAAACTTCCCTACCCTTATCTAAATACTGTTCACATATATGCTTCAATGTAAACACTTGATCTACACATCCCCTACCCACTCTGAAACCTCCTTGCTCATCCGCAATCCTACATTCTGTCTTGCCTCTAATTCTTTCAATTATAACCCTATCGTACACTTTTCCTGGTATACTCAGTAAACCTATTCCTCTATAATTTTTACAATCTCTTTTGTCCCCCTTCCTTTTATGTAAAGGGACTATACATGCTCTCCGCCAATCCCTAGGTACCTTCCCCTCTTTCATACATTTATTAAACAAAAGTACCAACCACTCCAACCATATACCCCCCTGCTTTTAACATTTCTGTCATGATCCCATCAGTTCTAGCTGCTTTACCTCCTTTCATTGTACGTAATGCCTCACGTACCTCCCCCACACTTATATTCTGCTCTTCTTCACTCCTAAAAGATGGTATACCTCCCTGACCAGTGCATGAAATTACCGCCTCTCTTTCTTCCTGAACATTTAAAAGTTCCTCAAAATATTCTCGCCATCTACCTAATACCTCCCTCTCCCCATCTACTAACTCCCCTACTCTGTTTTTAACTGACAAATCCATACGTTCCCTAGGCTTTCTTAACTTGTTTAACTCACTCCGAAATTTTTTCTTATTTTCATTAAAATTTCTTGACAGTGCCTCTCCCACTCTATCATCTGCTCTCCTTTTGCACTCTCTCACCACTCTCTTCACCTTTCTTTTACTCTCAATATACTCTGCTCTTCTTATAACACTTCTTTGTAAAAACCTCTCATAAGCTACGTTTTCTCTTTTATCACACCCTTTACTTCATCATTCCACCAATCACTCCTCTTTCCTCCTGCCCCCACCCTCCTATAACCACAAACTTCTGCCCCACATTCTAATACTGCATTTTTAAAACTATTCCAACCCTCTTCAACCCCCCCCACTACTCATCTTTGCACTAGCCCACATATCTGCCAATATTCGCTTATATCTCACCCGAACTTCCTCCTCCCTTAGTTTATACACTTTCACCTCTCTCTTACTTGTTGTTGCCACCTTCCGCTTGTCCCATCTACCTCTTACCCTAACTGTAGCTACAACTAAATAATGGTCCGATATATCAGTTGCCCCTCTATAAACATGTGTACATCCTGGAGCCTACCCATCAACCTTTTATCCACCAATATATAATCTAACAAACTACTTTCATTACGTGCTACATCATACCTTGTATATTTATTTATCCCCCTATAATTTTTGCACTCTCTTTTGTCCTCTTTGCCTTTACGCAAAGGAACTATGCATGCTCTCTGCCAATCCCTAGGTACCTTACCCTCTTCCATACATTTATTAAATAATAGCACCAACCACTCCAAAACTATATCCCCACCTGCTTTTAACATTTCTATCTTTATCCCATCAATCCCAGCTGCTTTACCCCCTTCCATTTTACGTACTACCTCACGAACTTCTCCCACACTCACAACTGGCTCTTCCTCTCTCCTACAAGATGTTATTCCTCCTTGCCCTATACACAAAATCATAGCTTCCCTGTCTTCATCAACATTTAACAATTCCTCAAAATATTCCCTTCATCTCCCCAATACCTCTAACTCTCCATTTAATAAAACTCCTCTCCTATTCTTAACTGACAAATCCATTTGTTCTCTAGGCTTCCTTAACTTGTTAATCTCACTCCAAAATTTTTTCGTATTTTCAACAAAATTTGTTGATAACATCTCACCCACTCTCTTATTTGTTCTCTTTTTACATTGCTTCACCACTCTCTTAACCTCTCTCTTTTTCTCCATATACCCTTCCCTCCTTGCATCACTTCTACTTTGTTAAAACTTCTCATATGCTAACTTTTTCTCCCTTACTACTCTCTTTACATCATCATTCCACCAATCGCTCCTCTTCCCTCCCGCACCCACTTTCCTGTAACCACAAACTTCTGCTGAACACTCTAACACTACATTTTTAAACCTACCCCATACCTCTTCGACCCCATTGCTTATGCTCTCATTAGCCCATCTATCCTCCAATAGCTGTTTATATTTTACCCTAACTGCCTCCTCTTTTAGTTTATAAACCTTCACCTCTCTCTTCCATGATGCTTCTATTCTCCTTGTATCCCATCTACCTTTTACTCTCAGTGTAGCTACAACTAAAAAGTGATCTGATATATCTGTGGCCCCTCTATAAACATGTACATCCTGAAGTCTACTCAACAGTCTTCTATCTACCAATACATAATCCAACAAACTACTGTCATTTTGCCCTACATCATCTTGTATACTTATCCTCTTTTTCTTAAAATATGTATTACCTATAACTAAACCCCTTTCTATACAAAGTTCAATCAAAGGGCTCCCATTATCATTTACACCTGGCACCCCAAACTTACCTACCACACCCTCTCTAAAAGTTTCTCCTACTTTAGCATTCAGGTCCCCTACCACAATTACTCTCTCGCTTGGTTCAAAGGTTCCTATACATTCACTTAACATCTCCCAAAATCTCTCTCTCTCTCCTCTACATTCCTCTCTTCTCCAGGTGCATACACACTTATTATGACCCACTTTTTGCATCCAACCTTGAATTTACACATTCATATTCTCTTTTCTCCTTCCATAACTGATCCTTCAACATTATTGCTACCCCTTCCTTAGCTTTAACTCTCTCAGATACTCCAGATTTAATCCCATATATTTCTCCCCACCGAAACTCCCCTACCCCCTTCAGCTTTGTTTCGCTTAGGGCCAGGACATCCAACTTCTTTTCATTCATAACATCAGCAATCATCTGTTTCTTGTCATCCGCACAACATCCACGCACATTCAAGCATCCCAGCTTTATTAAGTTTTCTTCTTCTCTTTTTTAGCAAATGTTTACAGGAGAAGGGGTTACTAGCCCATTGCTCCCCGCATTTTAGTCACCTCATATGACACGCATGGCTTATGAAGGAAAGATTCTTTTCCACTTCCCCATGGACAATAGAAGAAATAAAGAAGAACAAGAGCTATTTAGAAAAAGGAGAAAACCCCAGATGTATGTATATATATATGCATGTGTGTGTCTGTGAAGTGTGACCAAAGTGTAAGTAGGAGTAGCAAGATATCCCTGTTATCTAGCATGTTTATGAGACAGAAAAAGACACCAGCAATCCTACCATCATGTAAAACAGTTACTGGTTTCTGTTTCACAGTCATCTGGCAGGACAGTAGTACTTCCCTGGGTGGTTGCTGTCTACCAACCTACTACCTATGTTAGCCATTCCCACCAGTTAGGGTGCGAGATTACTAAATGTATTATTCAGAGATGTGAGGAGGGGTTGTTGAGGTGGTTTGAACATTTAGAGAGGATGGAAGAAAATAGGATAAATCTGGAGTGAAGGGAAGACACTGTAGGAGTTGCCCTAGGGAAGGTTGGAGGGAGGGGATAAATGAGGTTTTGTGTGCAAAAGGCTTGGATGTCCAGCAGGGATGTATAAACATGTTAAATAAGAGTGAGTGGAGGCATGATGAACTGTTGGTATGAGCAATTTAATATTTTGTGAAGAGCTCAAGGGAAACTTGTTAGCTGGACTTGAGTCCTGGAGGTGGGAAGTACAGTGCCTGCACTCTGGAGGAGGGATTGTGGTAGGGATATTTGCAGTGTGGAGGAGCATCTTAACTATAGATATATTTTATATGTAATGGTTCTGAAGTCAACTGCTTTTAAGTGTATTAAACATCTGCAATATCATTTTTTCTCTAAAATTCCACAGAAGTCAGCATTGATACATTAACCCTTAAACTGTCCAAACATAGATCTACATTAGTACCGCTAGCGCTCCAGACATAAATCAGTGTTTTATTTTTCCTGCCTCCAAATTTGGCACGTTTGGCCAGAGATGCCTGGTCAGTATAAAATGGGTCTTAACACTCAGTGCGTGCAGTATTAAAAAAATCTGGGACCACTTAGTACCTTGTGGGAGCACTAGTTCAATTGAGCTCCAGCTAGGTTGGATAAATACATGAGTGGATGTGGGTGGGTGTGAGTTAGACCTGATAGCTTGTGCTACCAGGTCGGTTGCCGTGTTCCTCCCTTAAGTCAATGTGACCTGACCTGACTAGGTTGGGTGCATTGGCTTAAGCCGGTAGGAGACTTGGACCTGCCTCGCATGGGCCAGTAGGCCTTCTGCAGTGTTCCTTCGTTCTTATGTTCTTATGTTCTAGAGCAAATAGCATGGCAAACACCAGGGATTCACAGATGTCACGTCATATTAACACTCCCCTTTTAAGAGGAAAGTGATGTTGACCCAGAATTTGGTGGCTTTGAGATGGATGTGGCCACAAGTGGTCAAGGAAATATCAAAAACCTCGATAATAACCCTTGTTCAACATATGTGCAACATCCTTTCATTATTGATACCACTGGTAGTGTTATCCTGCCAGAATGTCCTATAACCTGTGCCCTAAGTAAAGAGAAACTATTCTGGAACATGTGTAATACATGTTCGGCTGGCTGGCCTGCTGGCTGGTTGGCTGACTTTGGCTGTCTCTGTCTATATATCTGTCTGTCTATATCTCTGTCTCTGTCTATCTGTCTCTCTCTCACAGGTATACATAAATACAGTTGTTATACATAGTGTAAATTAAATAGGATAACCCAAAAATTCCAGGCAAAGTGCTATACAGTGCTTGTAGATATAAGGAGTAATAAGCATGACTGGCAAGTAATACGCTTTTTCACTTGATCAGGAATCAGACATGACAACTCTGCATCTTGTGTAACACCTGTTGGTTTACAAGCCACTCTCTGAGACAGGGAGACAAGCAGATAGAAAGACAGACACACAGGCAGACAAAAAGACAGACACACAGGCAGACAGAAAAACAGACACACACAGACAGTAAGGCAGAGACACACAGGCAGACAGAAAGACAGATAAGCTGAGCTAGACAGACAGACACACATGTTTGTGTGTAGCAGTGAAAACAAATAAAGCCAGGGTTCCCTGGAGCAGTGCACAGTTATCAAGTGTCACTCCACTGCTGTACTGTCATCAGTTAGTGACACACGTCTTAACACCATGCTTCAAGGAGTTTCATATATACTCCAGCATGTCTAAAACATTGTTGAGATCTATAAATACTTTGTATATATTTCTATACAATAGTAAATGACCAAGGCAGGTGAAAATGTTCACCTGTCAGTGTGTTTATGACTATTTGAATACTATTTCAGTACCTAATGTTAGTGTCAGAACAAAGATTGGCTGTGAAATCACAAGAACTAGTATAAATTGTAATTATCAGAACATAAAAATTATGTAAATTAAAATAGAAACGAGGAAAAAAGGTATATCAGCAACACTTCTGCAAGCAGCAGGACTCGATGTTGCCGTCAGGTGAGTATCCAGTGCCAACTTTACAGTCTTATACCTCAGTAAGTACTGATCCTAAAAAAAAAATTTTATATTATAACATGCAAAATAATGCCCTCTTCATTTAAAATTTTTTTTTTTTTTTTCTTTTTCCAAAATATTTGGAGTGCTGGGTGAGTGAACTTAGATCTGTGTTTGAACAGTTTGAGAGTTAATGGTATTCAAGTCTGTTGTTTTAAAAATCTCAACAGAAGTAAAATTGTGGCACTCATATATACTCGGGTCTTGACCCGAGTAAATATGATTGCCACAATTTTACTAAGTTTTACTTGGTGTAGGTTTTAAAAAAGAAAGTTTTACCAACTTTACCTACACCTCTTAAACTGTTTTAATTATGGATAATTTTTTTTACAGACCATTTCCTTGTGAGGTGTGTTGTGCAGCATTCAAGACTAGAGGTAATCTCTACAACCATATGAATACTCACACTGGTCTCAAGAAGTTTACTTGTGAAATATGTGGCAAACAGTTTAATCATCTGACTTCTTTAACCTTACATGTGAGGTCACACACAGGTAATATTTTTTTTTTTTTTCATGTTAGAAAGTTGTATAAGGCTCAAAAAATTGTATATTTTATTGTGTACATCATTAATTGTTAATATAAAGTTCTTTGAGGAGCATGTGAAATAGTATTATCTAGTGTAGTTTTTTGATGAGAGAGAGGAATGAGAGAGGGGGGAAAGGGAAAGAGAGAGGGGGAGAGGGAAAGAGAAAGAGAGGGGAGAGAGAGGGAAAGAGAAAGAGAGGGGAGGGAGGGAAAGGGAGAAGAGAGATGAGAGATGGGAGAGTGTGGAGGGAGTGGGGGATGGGGGAGGGAGGAAGGAATAATAATAATAATAATAATGTTTATTTCTTTGTAAAGGTTACAATGTGTAATTACAATTTTGATTTGCTAAGTACAAAGATAGCCACTATCATGCCAAGGCATTTCGGGCAAACTAATCCTAATACATAGTAACTAATTAAAACTAGATAAGATAATAGGATCATACCACTGTCCCACTGGTCATAAGACAAACCATGATAATTCACCTGAAGGTTGGTAAGATTATGGGTAGATTATATACGAGTATACAGCACTGTGAATTTTGCTTGTTGCAGTATGTATGATAATCTGGAATCTTTTGAAATAATGCCCATTGTTTAGTAATTTTTTTTTATTTGTGTGTAATGCACATAAGTTTATTTTTTGTTGTGACAAGTCAACACTTGATGGCCTGATGTGAAAGTGCCAACTGTCTGTATAAAAAGATAAGAAAATAAGAGAATCATTTTTAGGCTGATGTTTTAAAGGATTGACTGAAATGTATGATAGCAGTATTAAAGAATCCTAGGTAGTAGGTTGGTAGACAGTAACTTTTAGGGAAATTCTACAAGCTAAGTCAAAGAGTAAATAATGGACTGTAATGGGACTTATCGTGAAAGACAGCTTTCGCCTACACAGCCGTCCCTGTAGGGGATGTCTTGAGAAGCTGTCGTATACACGCCCTAAGGGCTGTGTGAAGAAAATGTTGTATAAGTATAATTACCCCTAGGGGGTATTGTGCCAGTATTTCAATAACTGAATGCTGATGGGAATATATACTTACTTGTGTTGGACTGAAAAGCCTGCCTATAACCGAGCGTATGATACATCTAGAAAGAAATGAACCAGCTATCTGCTGTGCAGATGACCTAGCTAGTCTCATTAATTACTAGACCTACCTGGGTGTTTGTATCAGACCCATGTGTAACTCGGATATCGTGTCTTGATTGAAGCAGATGTGTTCTTTGAAGAATGTCACACTACTCTCCGTCAGGATCACAACACTCATCGTTACACACTGTTCATCAAGTATTGTTTATCATTCACAGTCATATCACTAAAGAAGCTGATTACATTTCTCTGTAAGTGTTGTGCTGTGTTCTTTGAGATTCTTTTATGCACACAAACACGCGGATCAGTGTTCTTTGTTCATTATCCCGGCGTCACTGTGTCCCTTGGCAGGGTTAAAAGCAATCTAAACTAAGATGCCCCTTGCTGCACTTCGCTTGCCCCCAGCTACAAAGGAAAAGCTGATTCAAGCAGATTTCCCCTCCTTGCCAAACTTCCAAACTTGCCAAAGCAGAATGCTTGATTTCCTGATATATGTCAATTACTTAGGGTTCATTATGTCCCACATGTGAATAAAATGAGGTAGAAGTTCCCCTGTACCTTTCCTGTTGTGGTACAGAGATTAATCACTCTCGTTATAACTCACGTTGGTTGCAACACTGGTCTTTTGCAAGGAGTCGCATGACCTGTGACTGGTACATGCTGGTTAACACCTGGTTGTAATTACTTGATGTGGAATTAAACAAGATGCTTACCCCTTCTGAGAGTGCTAGGCCCCTCAGGACTGAGAAAATTCTGTGGAGAAAATTTCTCCACAGCAACCACCCAGGGAGGTACTACCGTCCTGCCAAGTGAGTGTAAACAGAAACCTGTAATTGTTTCATGTGATAGTAGATTGCTGGTGTCTTTTTTCTGTCTCATAAACATGCAAGATTTCAGGTAGATCTTGCTGCTTCTACTTACACTTAGGTCACACCACACATGCATAGACAAACATATATATACACACGCCCCTCTGGGTTTTCTTCTTTTTCCTTACTATGTAGTTCTTGTTCTTGTTTATTTCCTCTTATCTCCATGAGGAAGTGGAGCAGAATGCATACTCCATAAGCCATACGTGTCATAAGAGGCAACTAAAATGCCAGGAGCAAGGGGCTAGTAACCCCTTTCTCCTGTATATTTTACTAAATTTAAAAGGAGAAACTTTCATTTTTCCTTTTGGGCCACCCTGCCTCAGTGGGATATGGCCAGTTTGTTGAAAGAAGTAACTTAATGTGGTATTGCATAAAGGAACTAGAGGTTACAATGAAATAAGGGCAAACTAGAAGGCTTTTAGACATGTCAATTGCTACTTCTTTCAAGTAGATAGGGATACAAAAACAGGTCTGTTTTTGATTTTGGTTCTTGCTAAGCTACTTAAGAGAGAAAGAGAGAGACTTCGGAGATGAATGAGTGAATGGGGAGTACAGCATAGACAAAGAACAAGAGTAAAGAGAGAATAATGAAAGAAAAATAAACTGTTGTGTGGTATCCTTTAAGATGGTTGCCTTGATACAGGTGAGGGCATTTGATCCAAGGAATTGAAGCTGCCCATCTTCTTTCTTGGATCAAAGTTTATTATGTTTAATTTCCCAGGTGCTGTATAACACAGGTTTAGTGCTTTCCCATAGCACTACAGTGCACCATAGTACTACGGTGTACTGTAGTGACAGATTTTCTGTATCTAGGTGTTGATTTGTTAAGTTTATATACTGTCTTTTGTTTTCTAGGTGAAAAGCCATTCAAATGTGATTATTGTGGGAAGAGATTTACTCAAAATGGTAACCTTCAGGAGCACAAAAGGATTCACACAGGAGAAAAACCATACTGTTGTACTACTTGTCGCAAAAAATTTACAACCTCTTCACAGGTAAATATGTGATGTGTTGCATTTTTACACAGTATATAATGTAAACAGTATATCACAATATCTTCATCAGAATTTGTAGTTAGTATGACTTAAAAGTTTTACTAAACATATCAGAACAGTACTAAGTAGTAAGTTGGTAGACAGCAGTTGCCCAGGGAGGTAATACTGTCCTGCCAAGTGAGTGTAAAATGAAATCCTGTAATAGTTTTACGCAATGGTAAAGTTCCTAGTGTCTTTTTTCTGTCTCATAAACATGCAAGATTTCACGTACATCTTGCTACCTCTACTTACACTTAGGTCACACTACACATACATGTACAAGCATATATATACACAGACCCCTCTGGTATTTTTTCTATTTTCTTCCTAGTTCTTGTTTATTTCCTTTTATCTTCATGGGGAAATGAAACAGAATTCTTCCTCTGTAAGTCATGCGTGTCGTAAGAGGTGACTAAAATACCAGGAGCAAGGGGCTAGTAACCCTTTCTCCTGTATATAGTATTACTAAATGTAAAAGGAGAAATTTTCGTTTATCCTTTTGGGCCACCCCCGCCTTGGTGGGATATGGCTGGTGTGTTGAAAGAAGAAAGAAATGGTACGTCTTGCTACTTCTTACACTTAGGTCACACTACACATGCATGTACAAGCATATATGTACACATACCCCTCTGGTTTTTCTTCTATTTTCTTACTAGTTCTTGTTCATTTCCTTTTATCTCCATGGGGAAGTGGAACAAAATTCTTCCTCCTTAAGCTATACATGTCGTAAGAGGCGGGTAAAATGATGGGAGCAAGGGGCTAGTAACCCTTTCTCCTGTATATTTTTTTTTCAACAAGTCGGCCGTCTCCCACCGAGGCAGGGTGACCCAAAAAAGAAAGAAAATCCCCAAAAGGAAAATACTTTCATCATCATTCAACACTTTCACCACACTCACACATTATCACTGTTTTTGCAGAGGTGCTCAGAATACAACAGTTTAGAAGCATACACATATAAAGATACACAACATATCCCTCCAAACTGCCAATATCCCAAACTCCTCCTTTAAAGTGCAGGCATTGTACTTCCCATTTCCAGGACTCAAGTCCGACTATATGAAAATAACTGGTTTCCCTGAATCCCTTCACTAAATATTACCCTGCTCACACTCCAACAGATTGTCAGGTCCCAAGTACCATTCGTCTCCATTCACTCCTATCTAACACGCTTACGCACGCTTGCTGGAAGTCCAAGCCCCTTGCCCACAAAACCTCCTTTACCCCTCTCTCCAACCTTTACAAGGACAACCCCTACCCCACCTTCCTTCCCCTATAGATTTATATGCTTTCCATGTCATTCTACTTTGATCCATTCTCTCTAAATGACCAAACCACCTCAACAACCCCTCTTCTGCCCTCTGACTAATACTTTTATTAACTCCACACCTTTTCCTAATTTCCACACTCCGAATTTTCTGCATAATATTTACACCACACATTGCCCTTAAACAGGACATCTCCACTGCCTCCAACCGTCTCCTCGCTGCTGCATTTACCACCCAAGCTTCACACCCATATAAGAGTGTTGGTACTACTATACTTTCATACATTCCCTTCTTTGCCTCCATAGATAACGTTTTTTGACTCCACATATACCTCAACGCACCACTCGCCTTTTTTCCCTCATCAATTCTATGATTAACCTCATCCTTCATAAATCCATCCGCCGACACGTCAACTCTCAAGTATCTGAAAACATTCACTTCTTCCATACTACTCCTCCCCAATTTGATATCCAATTTTTCTTTATCTAAATCGTTTGATACCCTCATCACCTTACTCTTTTCTATGTTCACTTTCAACGTTCTACCTTTACACACATTCCCAAACTCATCCACTAACCTTTGCAATTTTTCTTTAGAATCTCCCATAAGCACAGTATCATCAGCAAAAAGTAACTGTCAATTCCCATTTTGAATTTGATTCCCCAAAATTTAATCCCACCCCTCTCCCGAACACCCTAGCATTTACTTCCTTTACAACCCCATCTATAAATATATTAAACAACCATGGTGACATTACACATCCCTGTCTAAGACCTACTTATACCAGGAAGTAGTCTCCCTCTCTTCTACACACCCTAACCTGAGCCTCACTATCCTCATAAAAACTCTTTACAGCATTTAATAACTTACCACCTATTCCATATACTTGCAACATCTGCCACATTGCTCCTCTATCCACTCTATCATATGCCTTTTCTAAATCCATAAATGCAATAAAAACTTCCCTACCTTTATCTAAATACTGTTCACATATATGCTTCAATGTAAACACTTGATCTACACATCCCCTACCCACTCTGAAACCTCCTTGCTCATCCGCAATCCTACATTCTGTCTTACCTCTAATTCTTTCAATTATAACCCTACCGTACACTTTTCCTGGTATACTCAGTAAACTTATTCCTCTATAATTTTTACAGTCTCTTTTGTCCCCTTTCCCTTTATATAAAGGGGCTATACATGCTCTCTGCCAATCCCTAGGTACCTTCCCCTCTTTCATACATTTATTAAACAAAAGTACCAACCACTCCAACACTATATCCCCCCCTGCTTTTAACATTTCTGTCATGATCCCATCAGTTCCAGCTGCTTTACCCCCTTTCATTGTACATAATGCCTCACGTACCTCCCCCACACTTACATTCTGCTCTTCTTCACTCCTAAAAGATGGTATACCTCCCTGATCAGTGCATGAAATTACTGCCTCTCTTTCTTCCTTAACATTTAAAAGTTCCTCAAAATATTCTCGTCATCTACCTAATACCTCCATCTCCCCATCTACTAACTCCCCTACTCTGTTTTTAACTGACAAATCCATACTTTCCCTAGGCTTTCTTAACTTGTTTAACTCCAAATTTTTTTCTTATTTTCATTAAAATTTCTTGACAGTGCCTCTCCCACTCTATCATCTGCTCTCCTTTTGCACTCTCTCACCACTCTCTTTACCTTTCTTTTACTCTCCATATACTCTGCTCTTCTTATAACACTTCTGCTTTGTAAAAACCTCTCATAAGCTACCTTTTTCTCTTTTATCACACCCTTTACTTCATCATTCCACCAATCACTCCTCTTTCCTCCTGCCCCCACCCTCCTATAACCACAAACTTCTGCCCTGCATTCTAATACTGCATTTTTAAAACTATTCCAACCCTCTTCAACCCCCCCCCCCACTACTCATCTTCGCACTAGCCCACCTTTCTGCCAATAGTCGCTTATATCTCGCCCGAACTTCCTCCTCCCTTAGTTTATACACTTTCACCTCCCTCTTACTTGTTGTTGCCACCTTCCTCTTTTCCCATCTACCTCTTACTCTAACTGTAGCTACAACTAAATAAAGATCCAATATATCAGTTGCCCCTCTATAAACATGTACATCCTGGAGCCTACCCATCAACCTTTTATCCACCAATACATAATCTAATAAACTACTTTCATTACGTGCTACATCATACCTTGTATATTTATTTATCCTCTTTTTCATAAAATATGTATTACTTATTACCAAATCTCTTTCTACACATAGCTCAATTAAAGGCTCCCCATTTACATTTACCCCTGGCACCCCAAATTTACCTACTACTCCCTCCATAACATTTTTACCCACTTTAGCATTGAAATCCCCAAATACCATTACTCTCACACTTGATTCAAAACTCCCCATACATTCACTCAACATTTCCCAAAATCTCTCTCTCCTCTACACTTCTCTCTTCTCCAGGTGCATACACGCTTATTTTAACCCACTTTTCACATTCAATCTTTATTTTACTCCACATAATCCTTGAATTAATACATTTATAGTCCCTCTTTTCCTGCCATTGATTATCCTTCAACATTATTGCTACTCCTTCTTTAGCTCTAACTCTATTTGAAACCCCTGACCTAATCCCATTTATTCCTCTCCATTGAAACTCTCCCACCCCCTTCAGCTTTGTTTCACTTAAAGCCAGGACATCCAGCTTCTTCTCATTCATAACATTCACAATCATCTCTTTCTTATCATTTGCACAACATCCACGCACATTCAGACTTCCCACTTTGACAATTTTGTTCTTCTTATTCTTTTTAGTAATCTTTACAGGAAAAAGGGTTACTAGCCCATTGTTCCCGGCATTTTAGTTGACTTTTACAACACGCATGGCTTACGGAGGAAAGATTCTTATTCCACTTCCCCATGGATATAAAAGGAAAAGTAATAAGACCAAGAACTATTAAGATAAAATCCAAGAAAACTCAGATGAGTGTGTATAAATAAATGTGTACATGTATGTGTAGTGTGACCTAAGTGTAAGTAGAAGTAGCAAGACGTACCTGTAATCTTGCATATTTATGAGACATACAAAAGACAGCAATCCTACCATCATGTAAAACAATTACAGGCTTTCGTTTTACACTCACTTGGCAGGACGGTAGTACCTCCCTGGGTGGTTGCTGTCTACCAACCTACTACTACTAACTACTACTATTACTACTCCTGTATATAGTATTACTAAATGTAAAAGGAGAAATTTTTGTTTTTCCTTTTGGGCCACCCCGCCTTGGTGGGATATGGCTGGTGTGTTGAAAGAAGAAAAAAATGGTACGTTTTGCTACTTCTTACACTTAGGTCACACTACACATGCATGTACAAGCATATATGTACACATACCCCTCTGGTTTTTCTTCTATTTTCTTACTAGTTCTTGTTTATTTCCTTTTATCTCCATGGGGAAGTGGAACAGAATTATTCCTCCTTAAGCTATGCATGTCGTTAGAGGCAGGTAAAATGCCGGGAGCAAGGGGCTAGCCCTTTCTCCTGTATACATTACTAAATTTATGAAGAGAAACTTTTGTTTTTCTTTTTGGGCCACATTACTTCAGTTGGATACAGCCAGCATGTTGAAACAAGAGAAAGATCAGAAGAGTAAACCCAAGATAAATTGTAGCAAATGGCTGTCAGTGAATAAACAAAAGAATGGACTGGGACCCGAACCATGGTCCATACACGTCAGGCCCAACGCTGTACCATTTACCACAGAGGTTACGATAGGATGATTTTAAAGCCAGTACTTGTGTGATATGGTTGTATAAATAGCACCAGCTGTGACTGTTTCATCCCACTGCTCCAAAAGCTTTCATGGTATATCTAGTCTCATACTCCTCAATGCCATATGTGTGGTCTACAAACCCTGGGTGGCCCCGTGACCTGGCTGGCAAAGCTCTCGCTTCACACGCAGAGGGCCCGGGCTTGATTCCCGGTGGGGTGGAAACATTTCAACACGGGGTTAAAAATCCAAACGAAATTTTATCTTATAATGAAAAACATTCAGTGAACAAACAGAAAATTGGAATCTTCATCATTTCTTTCATTTTTTTTTTTTTAACAAGTCGGCCGTCTCCCACCGAGGCAGGGTGACCCAAAAAGAAAGAAAATCTCCAAAAAGAAAATATTTTCATCATCATTCAACACTTTCACCACACTCACACATAATCACTGTTTTTGCAGAGGTGCCCAGAATACAACAGTTTAGAAGCATATACATATAAAGATACGCAACATATCCCTCCAAACCGCCAATATCCCGAACCCCTCCTTATGAGTGCAGGCATTGTACTTCCCATTTCCAGGACCCAAGTCCGGCTGTATAAAAATAACCAGTTTCCTGAATCCCTTCACTAAATATTACCCTGCTCACACTCCAACAGCTCGTCAGGTCCCAAATACAATTCGTCTCCATTCACTCCTATCGAACACGCTCACGCACGCTTGCTGGAAGTCCAAGCCCCTTGCCCACAAAACCTCCTTTACCCCTTCGTTCTAACCTTTTCAAGGTTGATCCCTACCCCGCCTTCCTTCCCCTACAGATTTATACACTCTCCATGTCATATTCTTTTATAATAGTAGTTGATGATGGTGAAAGTGTTGAGTGCTGATGAAAGTTTCTAATTTCTTTTGGGGCTTTTCTTTCTTTTTTTGGGTCACCCTGCTTCGGTGGGAAATGGGTGACATGTTTACCTGGAGTTTACCTGGAGAGGGTTTCAGGGATCAACGCCCCTGCAGCTCAGTCTGAGACCAGGCCTCATGGTGGATCAGGGTCTGATCAACCAGGCTGTTACTGTTGACCAAGGCTGTGGCAAACACCATCTTAGTGGACATCCACTAAGATGGTGTTTGCAGTCTCAGATAATTGGTATTTTTGGATAAAGCTGAAGACTTTTTTAGTATACAAAGATTGTGAATCTTGCATTTAATACAAAAAAACTGCTTCATAACTTAATAATTTCCCCTCAGAATAGTATTTTTCTCTTTGTTAAATAAATCTTGAGAAATTTAGTTTAGTTTTTCTTTTGTCAGTTCAAACTTCATATGAGACGTCACTCTGGAGAGAAATCTTTCTTCTGTTCGTACTGCAACAAGTCCTGTTTGAATCGAGAAGCCTGGCAGACACATGAAAAGAAACATACTGGAGATAAGCCATATGTCTGTGAAGTTTGCAATAAAGGTTTCACAGAACAATACACTATGAGAAAACATCTACGAATGCATACAAGTAAGGTTAATAATCACTTTATCATATTTTGTAGTTTAATGTAAACTCTAATTATAATACATATTTTTTCTTTCCAGGTATGTCTACTTACACTTAGGTCACACTACACATGCATGTACAAGCATATATATACACTCCCCTCTGGGTTTTCTTCTATTTTCTTACTAGTTCTTCTTGTTTATTTCCTCTTATCTCCATGGGAAAGTGGAACAGATTTCTTCCTCCATAAGCCATGCGTGTCGTAAGAGGCGACTAAAATGCCAGGAGCAAGGGGCTAGCAACCCCTTCTCCTGTATATACATATTACTAAATGTAAAAGGAGAAACTTTCGTTTTTCCTTTTGGGCCACCCCGCCTTGGTGGGATATGGCTGGTGTGTTGAAAGAAGAAAGAAATGGTAAATTTACATGTGTACTACTTATGTAGTACTTAATGTTGAAAATGCTTCAAACTTCAGAACACCTGTGACTTCCTGATTCCTCCTTTTTCTTCTTCTCCCTCTTCCCCATTCCTCTTTCCTTTTTCTCCTTTGGGCTGTCTTTATTCTGCCTTGTGTATTTGTTCCTTTGTTATTTATTTATTTATTTCCTTCCCCCCCCCCTTCTGTGTACTTGCTCTTACCTTTTATGGGCACCTAGCTCCCTTGCAGTGCTCCTCTTTCTTAGCATTTGACTGGCTCCTCCTCACTACTACTACTTCCGCCGCCGCCTCCTCCACCGCCTCCTCCGCCACCTCCTCCTCTGCCGCCTCCTCCTCCACTGCCTCCTCCGCCGCCTCCTCTGCCGCCGCCTCCTCCTCCTCCTCCTCCTCCTCCTCCTCCTCCTCCTCCTCCTCCTCCTCCTCCTCCTCCTCCTCCTCCTCCTCCTCCTCCTCCTCCTCGTCAGTGTGACTTTGTAAATGGTCCAAGTCGGACCGAAACTTTGTGGTAAGCTCCTCTCTTCTATGTGCGGGTTATTTGTGTATCGTTCCAGTCACGTTATTGTGCTTTTTTTTGTTACTCATGGTGAGTGTGTGTACATGTGTGGATGGAGTTATAAGAGAGATTAATTAAGATATACCAGGAAAAGTGTACGGTAGGGTTATAATTGAAAGAATTAGAGGTAAGACAGAATGTAGGATTGCGGATGAGCAAGGAGGTTTTAGAATGGGTAGGGGATGTGTAGATCAGGTGTTTACATTGAAGCATATATGTGAACAGTATTTAAATAAAGATAGGGAAGTTTTTATTGCATTTATGGATTTAGAAAAGGCATATGATAGAGTGGATAGAGGAGCAATGTGGCAGATGTTGCAAGTATATGGAATAGGTGGTAAGTTATTAAATGCTGTAAAGAGTTTTTATGAGGATAGTGAGGCTCAGGTTAGGGTGTGTAGAAGAGAGGGAGACTACTTCCCGGTAAAAGTAGGTCTTAGACAGGGATGTGTAATGTCACCATGGTTGTTTAATATATTTATAGATGGGGATGTTAAGGAAGTAAATGCTAGGGTGTTTGGGAGAGGGGTGGGATTAAATTATGGGGAATCAAATTCAAAATGGGAATTGACACAGTTACTTTTTGCTGATGATAATGTGCTTATGGGAGATTCTAAAGAAAAATTGCAAAGGTTAGTGGATGAGTTTGGGAATGTGTTAAAGGTAGAAAGTTGAAAGTGAACATAGAAAAGAGTAAGGTGATGAGGGTGTCAAATGATTTAGATAAAGAAAAATTGGATATCAAATTGGGGAGGAGGAGTATGGAAGAAGTGAATGTTTTCAGATACTTGGGAGTTGACGTGTCGGCGGATGGATTTATGAAGGATGAGGTTAATCATATAATTGATGAGGGAAAAAAGGTGAGTGGTGCGTTGAGGTATATGTGGAGTAAAAAAACGTTATCTATGGAGGCAAAGAAGGGAATGTATGAAAGTATAGTAGTACCAACACTCTTATATGGGTGTGAAGCTTGGGTGGTAAATGCAGTAGCGAGGAGACGGTTGGAGGCAGTGGAGATGTCCTGTTTAAGGGCAATGTGTGGTGTAATTATTATGCAGAAAATTCGGAGTGTGGAAATTAGGAGAAGGTGTGGAGTTAATAAAAGTATTAGTCAGAGGCAGAAGAGGGGTTGTTGAGGTGGTTTGGTCATTTAGAGAGAATGGATCAAAGTAGAATGACATGGAAAGCATATAAATCTATAGGGGAAGGAAGGCGGGGTAGGGGTCGTCCTCGAAAGGGTTGGAGAGAGGGGGTAAAGGAGGTTTTGTGGGTAAGGGGCTTGGACTTCCAGCAAGCGTGCGTGAGCGTGTTAGATAGGAGTGAATGGAGACGAATGGTACTTGGGACCTGACGATCTGTTGGAGTGTGCGCAGGGTAATATTTAGTGAAGGGATTCAGGGAAACCGGTTATTTTCATATAGTCGGACTTGAGTCCTGGAAATGGGAAGTACAATGCCTGCACTTTAAAGGAGGGGTTTGGGATATTGGCAGTTTGGAGGGATATGTTGTGTATCTTTATATGTGTATGCTTCTAGACTGTTGTATTCTGAGCACCTCTGCAAAAACAGTGATAATGTGCGAGTGTGGTGAAAGTGTTGAATGATGATGAAAGTATTTTCTTTTTGGGGATTTTCTTTCTTTTTTGGGTCACCCTGCCTCGGTGGGAGACGGCCGACTTGTTGAAAAAAAAAAAAAAAAAAAGAGAAATAGAGAAATTTAGTGTATGAGAGGAAAAAAGTATGTGGAGAAAATTTTGTATGGGAGTACTCGCATCAGTCGAATAACCTCGGCAGCCAATGCTTGTCTGAGAAATCTGAGAGTGGCCTTTGGAAATCTCAGTGGAGTCATTCCAAGCTCTTTATACAACATATGTCAGACCCATTTTGGAGTATACAGCGCCATTGTGGAACCCATACTTGAAGTATATTAAGTAACTAGAGAATGTGCAGAAATATGCAGCAAGGCTTGTTTATGAGTTAAGGCACATAAGTATAAGAGGCTATCTGATTTTATTCTAATGATATTAGAGGACACAAGAACCGGGGGATATTGATAGAATAGACAGGGATAGGGTGTTTAATTAAGAGGAGCAAAATGGGAATCAGGGACACAGCTTAAGTTAGACACAGATGAGTGACAGGAATGCCAGGAAGTACTTTTTCAGCATCAAGGTGGTTGGGAAGTGGAATGATCTGGTGAGAAAATGGTGGAGGCAGGCTCCATATATAGTTTGAAGAGCAGGTATGATAGGGTCCATGAGGCTAGGAGAGAGTGAATCTGACATGCAACAAGCTGAGACTTTGGGTCAGGAGCTACAACTTGACCACTGCAACCACATGTAGGTGAGTACCTATAGACAACTTTTGAAGAAGAGAGCATGTCATGCATTATTAAAATTAATATTATTATTACTACTGCACTTCCAATGTAATCAATATTTCATAATGTATTTTGCATAATTTTCTTCAGCTGAGAAGCCATACGTTTGCAATATGTGTGAAAAATCCTTCAGTGGGCCAGCCAGCTTACTCAAACATCGCAAGTGTCACTGTGAGGCAGAAACTTGGCTGTTATCGGATCCATCAACTATTGATCAGCTGGAAGGGGATCATCGGATCATTTATATTCTTTCTGAGAAGGATGAGGGTGATGCAACAATTGCAGCACTACAAGCTGTGGTAAGTCTAAAGTTTCTCTACCTCTCAGTTTATCAGTTCATAGATATTCAGGACTTACTCTGTAAACCCATTTGTTTTTTTAAGTATTGGAAATGTACAAAAAATATAAGAAATATCTGCATCAAACAAGTGATAAACATGGGAGTGCAGGATGGATGCAAGCAGTGAGGAATCAGTGAAGTTAGAAAAGCCACATTGCAGTAATTGGTGGGATGCATTTTGTTGGTTTAGACTTGGTATAAATAACTTTTATGTAATAAATATTACTGCATAGTATAGTGTGCAATGTAATCATGAGTGAGTGATAAAAGATGCAGAATAACTACAGGGGGAGTTGAATGATAACTCTGAGCCTTTCATGTTGCAATCAACACATCAGGAGCTTGCAGTATTGCAGAAATGAGTAGGTAGTCCAGTCAGATTTGCTCATGGAAATGACTGTATCCAGTATAGAATATATATATATAAGATGAAAAAAGGGGATGTAAATTAGGATGATAAAGGGACAGATGTACACTAGTGCAGTACAAATATAAGTTTCATAACTTTTTTACCACATTAGCTGTCTCCCACCAAGGTAAGGTACCAGTAACTAAAGAAAAAACAAATTCATCACTATTGAATGAATAATGGTGAATGTACTTCCTTGTTTTATGGGTCACCCTTTGTGGAAGATGGGCGATACGCAAAAAAAAAAAAAAATAATGTAATTTTAATAGGACAATGTGTGCAGTAGATTAGAAAGTTCCAGGTGTGGGATCATCCCAGTTGGAACCAGAAGTTCAGCATGTGATTACCTGTTTATAGTTACAGAACCAGAGCTGTGCTCATGGTGATCTGTCTTAAATATTTAGTTTGTTTACAATATGTAGCTTGTTGCTATGAAGCAGTTTGCATTGTTTAGTTTCTTGTACGTAGTAAATTACTTTACCTTACCCAATATGGAAAATCATTTCTTCACTAAAATAAAAGATATATTTGTAAAATATGCATAAAAATGAAGGAGAGGGATGCCAAAATAAGATCCTTGGTTTCTGTGCCTCACACACCTTCCAGTAATATAGTATGTCATGTTATGTGGCAGAAAGTATACATTATTAGGTCTCAAGCATTTAGATTGAAGTGTTAGGTTAGTTAAGAGAAATTAGTGAAGGCAGTTGCTGGCTTTTCATATCAGATGTTAGCAAAAATATGAGTGTGACTCGCACTCCTGCTTCACTGAATGTTCCAGTAGATGTGGGTGGGTGTGAGTTGGACCTGATAGCTTGTGCTAACAGGTCGGTTGCCGTGTTCCTCCCTTAAGTCAATGTGACCTGACCTGACTAGGTTGGGTGCATTGGCTTAAGCCGGTAGGGACTTGGACCTGCCTCGCATGGGCCAGTAGGCCTTCTGCAGTGTTCCTTCGTTCTTATGTTCTTATGTTCTTATAATCAATGATCTCCACAAGAATATGTATGCAATACAGGGTCTAGTAGTGTGCAATGGAATGTATGTTTATGCACAAATATATATACAAAAAAGGGGGGTAAAGTATTTCTTAATTATGTGTTAGGCATTAACATAAGTTTTATTATAGAAAACTGAAGTTGCGGAAGAGTCTCAGTTGGAGAACATCACAGATGGAACAACACAAATGATTCAACTAAATCCAGACAGTCCAACATTGCAGGGCTTCACACTTTCACCATACAACCACAAATCCACTGCCACAACTGTCATGCTTCAGCAAGGAGCTAATCAAGAAACAGATACTAGACAAATTCAAGTATGTGTGCCTCATAAAATAATTTTGTAACTGGATAAGCATTTGTGAAATATGATGTGAATACATACAGTCCTATATTTAATTGTTAAAAATAATGGTTAGGTCTAATTTTCTCCAGGTTTGAAATTATGTGAACTACACTTTATGTGGTTGCTGGGGTTGAATCTTAGCTCCTGGCCCTGCCTCTCAACATGCTGCTTTACCAGGTTCACTCTCTCCTAACCTGATAGGCCTTTGCCATACTTGCTCTTAAAACTATGTGTGGGGTCTGCCTATACCATATTGTCATTTAGGTCATTCTGCATCTGACCACGCTGAGGCTGAAGTATTGTAGTTCTTCCTGACATCCCTATGACTGATCTGTGTCTTCAACTTCCAACTGTGCCCGTGTACTTGTTTCCTGTCTCTAACAGTCTATCCCTGTTAAGTCCTCTTGAGTATTTTGTATATTGCTGTCTTGTCACTCCTGGTTCTTCTGCCCTTTTATTTCTTCAAGTTCAGTTTGTGTAACCTCTCATACTCATATCCCTCTGATCCAGAGCTAGCATCATTGCATACATTTACATTTTCTCCATTTTAACATGATTTATAAGGTGTCAGTTCCATGCTGGTCTCACTACACATGAATATACACATATATGTATATACACCAATCTGAGTTTTCTTTTATTTTCGTAATAGCTCTTGTTCTTATTTCCTTTCACCTCCGTAGGGAAGTGGAAAAAGAATCCTTCATCCGTAAACCATGCATGACACAAAAGGCAACTAAAATGCCGGGATCAGTGGTCTAGTAACCCCTTCTCCTCTATATATTATTAAATATAAGAAGAAAAACTTTAAAGTTGGGATGTGTGAATGTGTATGGATGTAGTGCAGATGCTAAGAAAGATAGTTGTCAATTTATGAATGATAAGAAGTTGGATGTCCTGGCTCTAAGCAAAGCAGAGCTGAAGGGGTTAGGGAAATTTCAGTAGGGAGAAATAAATAAGATTGGGGCAGAGGTATCTAAGAGAGTTAGAGCTAAGTAAGGAGTAGCAAAAATGTTGAAGGATCAGTCATGGCAGGAAAAGAGGGGGAAGGGAATGTATTAATTCAAGGATTATGTGGACTAAAATAAGGGTCAGATGCAAAGAGTGGCTTAAAGTAAATGTTTATGCACCTGGGGAAGAGAGAAGTGTAAAGGAGAGAGATATTTTGGGAGATGTTAAGTGAGTGTTTAGCCCTAAAATCTTTTAAAAGACTAAGCTTTATCATGGTTCAGGTTGTAGTTCCTTGCTTGAAGAACTGGCTAGGGTTTCTGTATGCCTTGTCTCATTGTCAGGGTTGAAGCACCCAACCCATCCTTCACTTCTTGTCAGAGTACTTTGATGACAAATATACAGTGCACCTTATTCCAAGAACACTTTCAGAGGTTGTCTAGTGTGAGTGCCTCCCATCATTCTCATGACATCCTTGTATTCAAAAATTTTTATATTTAAAAAGTCATCTGTCAAAGTGCCAGTTAGAAATGTCAGGAATCCCACTAATTGAAGGCAAGAGGGTCTCTTGACCTCACCCTAGCCTCCATGTTGCTGTGAGGGAGGGGGGGTAAGTAGGTCTCAGCCTCAGTCTCAGCTCCCTGCTGAGGGATTGCTGCTTTCCTGTGCTGCTTGTTGGCAATTTGGAGATAAATTCTCCATACCAGGCTTTCTGGATAAATATTTGCCTCCAGTGGATTCTCTTCAATGCTGTAAAATTTGTTATGAATATATCTGAACCACATTTGCTTTCCCACCTATAGATTAATGCAGTGATGTTCTTTCAGTACCTCTAACATGTAAATAACTTCCGGTGAAAGCCACAACAAATAAATTTTGTCTTTGCAGATTTGTACTAATGAAGATGGACAGTCTGTTATTCCAGTTATCAATTCATCTGGAGAAACAATTGCTGAAGTTCAAGGACACTTCCTCTCTGGTGTAAGTTTTAAAGTCAAGTTAATTTTAATACAAAATACGAGTAAAATCTTTCTTTCAACAAACCGAGGCAGGGTGGCCCAAAAAGAAAAACGAACGTTTTTCTTTTTAAATTTAGTAATTTATACAGGAAAAGGGGTTACTAGCCCCTTGCTCCTGGCATTTTAGTCACCTCTTACGACATGCATGGTTTACAGAAGAAGAATTCTGTGCCACTTCCCCATGGAAAATAAGCAAAATATTATAATAATTCTCCATGGGGAAGTAGAAAAGAATCCTTCCTCCATAAGCTATGCGTGGCATAACAGGTGACTAAAATTCCGGAAACAAAGGGTTAGCAACTCCTCCTGCATACATTACTAAATGTAAAAAGAAGCAGTAGGTTGGTAGACAGCAACCACCCAGGGAGGTGCTACCGTTCTGCCAAATAAGTGTGAAACAGAAACCTATGAATTGTTTTATGCAATGGTGTGATTGCTGGTGTCTTTTCTTTGTCACGTGAACATGCAGGCTGACAGGTATATCTTGCTACTTCTACTTTAGTTCATACTATATATGTATTTACATGTATTTGAATGCACACCTGTGTGAATTTTCTTATGTTTTCTTAATAGCTCTCGTTCTTATAATATTTCCTTTCATCTCCATAGGGAAGTGGGGAAGAGTCCTTCCTCCATAGGCCATGTGTGTCATAAAGGGCGACTATAATGCTGAGAGCAAGGGACTAGTAACCTTTTCTCCTTTATTTGAAAATTTAGAAAGAACATTATTTTAAAGTTAGGATGTTTGAATATGCGTGGATGTAGTACAGATAAGGAAGAGTTGCTTTTGAATGTTAACCACTTTACTGGTAGTACTACGTGATACGTGATGAACTCAGCTCACTGAGATATGAGAGAATGGGTATATGTGATAAGTGTGCACCATGTAAAAAATCCTGCAGCATGCAGTGCATAAGAAAAAAAATGTGACTGTGTTTTTGGCTTAAAACAGCAACTTCGCAGTATATTTTAGTATGGTTTTTATGGTTCTATTCTCAGTTTCTTGGTCTTGTTTGATAGAAGGGAAGATATATTACAGAAATAGAGATGATTTTGATTAGTTTCAGGACTGAAAATAGCTTGAAATTAAGCTCAGAGTAGCAGAAATATTCGAGTAAATAACTCATGTCACTCGTCCAGTACATGTCCAACTGGCAGGCCTGATATGCATTCATGAATGCACTGATATTATTCATACATTTATTACAGTATTGCATAATAGTAAATCTTCAATTTTTGTGTGTGAATAATAAAAATAAAAATAGAATTCATGTGTAAAGCCTGGGAGCATAACTGATGAACAGAGGAAATGTTATTTTAGTGCCAGGAATGCCTGAGTTGTTTATTCTGAACCCTATTTTGAGATAGTTAATTGGGCAATTTCTTGTACTTGTTTGATAAAATGGAAGACATACATATACTAGAGAAATAGCTAAAAATTTTGTTAACTGGAACATTGTAATTGGCCTAAATAGGACTCAAAGTGGGCAGAATTGCCAATGTGTAAATATCGCTGACACGGTAAAATTCAAAAAAGTGTAATTTCATTAATTTTCCATCAGTTTTCATACTTTTTGTTACTGTCAGAAAAAATTCTCTCCCATTTCATAAGAAAATAATAACAAAAAAATTTTTTTGAAAATTCTTGGACACGTGGACAAGTTTCAGATTGAGGACAAGTTTTAGATCAGGAATCTAGACAGTGAAAGGGTTAAGAATGAAAAGTAGCTATTATTTTCTTGGAAAGTAAGTGTAGCTTTGTCCTAGGCCACTGTAGCTCATTCTCTTCTCAAGGCATGGGACAAAGTTACAAACATTTATAAAAATGTGAGAAATAAGAGCAATGTCTTGAAACCCATTGGATTTGCCAACACAATTAAACAAAACAGGGGGAGGTTATGTAAGTTTCCTTGAACTATACTATTTTAATATCATGGTCCAGTAAACCTGTTGCAATACTCCTCTATTCATGCTTTAGTTCTTCACTTGCTTCCCTCTTTCTTGAAGTTAGCATGGGCTGGTAGACCTACTGCAGTGCTCTTTCACCTTTACCTGACCATACTTATTCCCTGTAAGATATGTTTTGTGAAAGGTTTTTCTGTGTATTTAACACAGCACCTTCATGGATGAAATGTTGTACATACATTAAAAATATCCTACATGTTATGTATAGTATTTTATTTTAAACTGAATAGAATTACAGATGTTGGACTACAGTATTGAACATTGATGACAATGTTCAAAGGTAGATGGGATACAAGGAGAATAGAAGCGTCAGGGAAGAGAGAGGTGAAGGTTTATAAACTAAAAGAGGAGGCAGTTAGGGTAAGATATAAACAGCTATTGGAGGATAGATGGGCTAATGAGAGCATAGGCAATGGGGTCGAAGAGGTATGGGGTAGGTTTAAAAATGTAGTGTTAGAGTGTTCAGCAGAAGTTTGTGGTTACAGGAAAGTGGGTGCGGGAGGGAAGAGGAGCGATTGGTGGAATGATGATGTAAAGAGAGTAGTAAGGGAGAAAAAGTTAGCATATGAGAAGTTTTTACAAAGTAGAAGTGATGCAAGGAGGGAAGAGTATATGGAGAAAAAGAGAGAGGTTAAGAGATTGGTGAAGCAATGTAAAAAGAGAGCAAATGAGAGAGTGGGTGAGATGTTATCAACAAATTTTGTTGAAAATAAGAAAAGTTTTGGAGTGAGAGCGTGGGTGACGTGTTAGATGGAGTGAATGGAGACAAGGTATTGGGCCTGACGATCTGTTGGAGTGTGCGGGGTAATATTTGTGAAGGGATTCGGGGAAAACCCGGTTTATTTTCATAATAGTCGGACTTGAGTCCTGGAAATGGGAAGTACAATCCCTGCACTTTAAAGGGGGTTTGGGTTTTGGGCAGTTTGGAGGGAATGTTGTTTTTTATATGTGTATGCTTTAGACTGTTGTTTTCTGAGCACCTCTGAAAAAACATGATAAGTGGATGGGGTGAAAGTGTTAAAATGATGATAAAAGTATTTTTTTTTTGGGGATTTTCTTTTTTTTTTGGGTCACCCTCCCTCGGTGGGGACGGCCGACTTGTTGAAAAAAAAAAAAAAAAAAAGAGAAATAGAGAAATTTAGTGTATGGAGGAAAAAAGATGGGGAAAAAAAAAATTTTTTGTTGGGAGTACTCGCATCAGTCAATAACCTGGGCGCCTGCTTGTCTGAGAAATCTGAGAGGGCCTTTGGAAATCTCAGTGGAGTCTTTCCCAAGCTTTTTATACAAATATTCAGCCCCATTTTGGAGTATACGCGCCTTTGTGGAAACCATACTTGAAGTATATTAAGTAACTAGAGATTTGCAGAAATATGCAGAAAGGCTTGTTTTGAGTTAAAGGCACATAAGTTAAGAGGCTATTGATTTTATTCTAATGAATTAGAGGCCCAAAAAAGAAGGGGGATATTGTAGAATAGACGGGATGGGTTTTAATTTAAAGGGGAGCAAAATGGGAATCGGGGGACACAGCTTAATTTTGACAAATAGTGACAGGAATGCCGGGAAATTATTTTTCAGCATCAAGGGGGTTGGGGAAGTGGAATGACTGGTAGAAAATGGGGGAGGAAAAGGCTCCATAAAGTTTAAAGAGCAGGTATGATAGGGTCCATGAGGCTAGGAGAGGTGAATCTGCAGCAACAACTGAGCTTTGGGTCGGAGCTAAAACTTGACCACTGCAACCACATGGGGTGAGTACCTATAACAACTTTTGAAGAAAAAGGCTGTCTGCATTTTTAAAAATTAAAAATATTATTCTACTGCATTTCCCAATGTAATCAATATTTCTTGTTTTTGCATAATTTTCTTCAGCTGAAAGCCATCTTTGCAATATGGTGAAAAAATTTAAAGTGGGCCACCCTTACTAAAACATCGCAAGTGCACTGTGGGGCAAAATTTGGTTTATCGGATCCATAACTATGATCAGCTGGAAAGGGGATCATCGGATTTTTTAATTCTTTCTGAGAAGGATGAGGGTGTTGCAACAATTGCGCACTCAAGCTGTGGTAAGTCTAAATTTTCTCTACTCTCAGTTTATCAGTTCATAGATTTCGGGACTTACTCTGTAAACCCAATTTTTTTTTTTTAAGTATTGGAAATGTACAAAAAATATAAAAAATACTGCTCAAACAGGAAAACATGGGAGTGCAGGATGGTGCAAGCATGAGGAATCGGGAAAGTTAGAAAAGCCAATTGCAGAAATTTGGTGGGAGCATTTTTGTTGGTTTAGATTGGTTTAAAAAAACTTTTATGTAAAAAATATTTACTGCAAGTAAGGGCAAGTAATCATGAGTAGGAAAAAGATGAAAATAACTACGGGGGGTTGAATGATAACCAGCCTTTCATGTTGCAATCAAACACAGGGCTTGCTTATTGCAGAAATGGTAGGGTCCAGCGATTTGCTCAGGAAATGACTGTATCCATAATAAAAATATATTATAAAAAAAAAAAGGGGAGTAAATTAGGATGAAAAGGAACAATGTCACTAGGGGCAGTACAAAATAAGTTTCATAACTTTTTTACCACATTAGCTGTCTCCCACCAAGGAAAAGGTACCATAACTAAAAAAAAAACAAATTCATCACTATTGAATAAATTAATGGTGAATGTACTTCCGTTTTAGGGTCACCCTTGGGGGAAGATGGGCGATACGCAAAAAAAAAAAAAAAATAATGTAATTTTAATGGGACAATGTGTGCAGTATTTTAAGAAATTTCCCAGGTGGGGACACCCCATTTGGAAACCCGAATTCAGCATGTGATTACCTGTTTATAGTTCAGAACCGAGCTTGCTCAGGTGATCTGTTTTAAAAATTTTTTATTTGTTTAAAATATGACTTGTTGCATGAAGCAGTTTGCATTGTTTAGTTTCTTGTACGTATAAAATTATTTTCCCTTTTTCCCCCAATATGGAAAATCATTTCTTCAAAAAAAAAAGATATATTTGAAAAAATTCAAAAA